ACACACACACACACACACACACACACCCTCTGGAAAAATCTTAAGACCCTGGTAACCCTGCTTGCCCTGGGAGGGGCTGGGTGGGGAGGGAGGCGCTGCAGCCCGGTGTGGGGGAGGGAAGCGGACGCGCTCTCTCTTTGGGGAGCGACTGTGGCTGAACAGGTCAGTGGCCCACTTTGCAGAGGGCACGTGGCCGAGGCCTGGAGAGGCCAGGTCCTGGGAGCAGTACGCTGACGTGGTCTCATGCAGGCTCTCTGGGCAGGTACCACAGCTTGACGCGACAGTTGCTCCGCAAGGCTGACGGGGTGGTGCTCATGTATGATGTCACCTCCCAGGAGAGCTTTGCCCACGTGCGCTACTGGATGGACTGTCTACAGGTGAGCACACACCTGGCAGAGCTGGTTCCGCATTTTAGAATCTTTAGGAAACTTGCATCCTGTCCTCTCCTCCTTTTCTCCCAGGGTGACAAATGACACTACAGTCCTGTGAGTGACGCCACTCACTGAGGGTATGTGACTGGATGAGCAGGGAGTGCAGGAGTACAAAGAAACCACAACCACATAGTACAGCCTCCAAAACAAACTGCTTCCTTTATCCTATGAGCATTTCTTCTCTGTACACAGCAGCTCTGTTGGTGATGTTTTCTTCCTAACACTTGAGGATGATGTGAAAATTCCTGTTCACACGTCTCTATTTTTTTTTTCTCTCCAAAATACTTAATATACATTTACTGGAACTCTGCAATGCGTATGAGCTAATGTGTGACCCACATGCAGGGAGACATGCTGCTTCTCTTCCAAAGTTTCTAGTTAGTGAGGAGAAGCAGGATAAGGTAAAGCCTGAGGAGGGGACCTGGACTCTGGGCCTGACAGGACTTAGCTTTGAATCCCAACTATCCCACCCCAACTCTGTGACTTGGGACCATCAACTTAACCTCTCTGAACTTCCATTTCCTGGCTTTTCCCATCAGGGAGTTCTGAAGATTAATAAAATAGAATTGCTTTCAGCACAGCACTTGGTGTATACAGCAAGCACTCAGTTATCCGAAGTTATTGTTGTTATTATTGTTGTTATTATTAATGAACTAGTTAGGGAATGTGCCAGGGCAGCCTGTGTGATCAAGCACAGGCAGGAAGAAAGGGGCATTGGGTGGGAGCAATCTGGGAATGCTTCCTGGAGGAGGTGCCCCTGAGTTTGGCCTTAGAAAGCAGGTGAGATGTTTGTAGGCAGAGAGGAGGAGCAGACCCCCTGCGGATGGAGGGAGGGTGCAGGTGGGAAGGAGGTAGGTGTGACGCCGACAGGGAGACACCTGGGAGGGCACCCCATCAGCTTCTGGGAGCTTCGAGCTGGGCCTGGCCATGGCATGTCTGGGGCCTGCCCTGACCTGAGGGGGCTGAGGAGCACATTCTCTGACAGGATGAAGGGTCGGGCCAAGCAGTCGTTCTTCTCCTGGGAAACAAGATGGACTGTGAGGAGGAGCGCCAAGTGCCCACTGAAGCTGGGCAGCAGCTGGCTCAGGTGAGCACCCAGGCAGCGTCCTGTCTCCCCACCTGGACTGGGTGGACGCCTCCCCAGCACTTAATGAACGGGGTCAACTGGCCTGTGCCCTTTCCTGCCTTGGCCCCCGGGGTCAGAGTGGACCACCTCCACCTCCCACCCACCCTGGGCCACTGCAGGGCAACTCCCAGGCTGTGAAGGGCGTGATGTTGAACCTGACGGTGGAATTAGCAAGTCCCCACACAATAACCCTACAACATAAAGAAAAAAAAATCTTCAGAGTCAAAAGGCTTTAAAAGCTTCCCTTAAAACTCCCAATCAAATCTTAAATTGATCTCTGCTCTCTAATTAGCATACACCCTTCTAATTTATTTTATTTTAAGACAGAAATCCTTCCTCAGGAAGACTACATCAAAAGCCTCCCTCTGGCAGACAGTGATACACTTATTTACAAATGGGATTTAATCACATTCTAGAAAAACCAGAGAGCAGTAAGAAAAGAGGGGAAAGAATCGCGGCTGGCCCCACCCGACACAGCCCTCTGGGCATTTCCTTCCCATGTCTTCTCTCATTTCTCACAATCTGGGGTCACTGTGGTGGCCCCCAAGTGGCAGGAGATTTCCCGCTTCGATGCAGCGAAGCATCCTCTGGTGCAGTACCTTCTCCTGTGGGTGGTGACCTTGATTCTAAGGGAAGAATCAGAAATAATGGGCCTAAGGGAATACAGGGTGGTCACCCCAGGAAAGTCCGTATTTATCTGAGGATGTTCGCTGCAGTGTTGTTTACAAGAACAAACCTTTGGCAGTGGTTGGAGGTTAAACTGTGGAGCGTCATGTAAGAGGCTGGTGTCTGATTTAAGAATTCTGCCCTATTGAAGGGTATGGGGCGTGCTGGCAATATAATGTGAAGTTGGAAAAGCAGATGCAAGCCGCTGGGGACAGAGCTCAGTTGGTAGAGTGCTCGCCTCGCAGGCCCAGGGAGGGCCCTGGGTTCAGTTCCCAGCACCACACACACACACACACACACACACACACACACACACACACACACGTGTAAATCTAGATCAGAGTTGTGGCTGGGGTTGTAGCTCAATGGAAGAGCACTTGCCTAGCCTGTGTGAGGTACTGGGTTTGATTCTCAGCACCACATATAAATAAATGGATAAAATAAAGGTCCGTCACAACTAAAAAGGAAAAAGAAAAGTTGAAACATCTGAAATGGCTGGTATGGGACGGTTTAGGTCCTACAGAAGCGGCCATTCATAAGGTTTAACCGGATAGAGTGACAGACAGCCCATACCCCACCCTTAAAAGGGATAAAGGGATCTATAAATTGGAATGGAAATATATATCCAAATGTTAACATTGAATTATATTTTGAGTTTATAGTTTTTAATACTGTATTATTCAATATTATATAGTATTATATATATATATTTGTACCAGGGATTGAACCCAGGGGCACCCGACCACTGAGCCACATGCACAGCCCTTTTGTATTTTACTGAGAGACAGGATCTCACTGAGCTGCTTAGGGCCTTGCTGTTGCTGAGGCTGGCTTTGAACTCGCGATCCTCCTGTCTCAGCCTCCCCAGCCGCTGGGATTAGGAGTCTACACCACTGTGCCTGACTCCAAAGATATATTTTTGAAACGAAAAACATAACTGATCATTAAAAGTGTCCCCAGAGGGCTGGGCTGTAGCTCAGGGTAGAGCACTTGCCTCCTTTGGGACTCAGTCTTCCTGTTGTCACTCCCACTCTGCGGGATGTCTCCTGGTGCAGGGTGGAGGGCAGGGCCAGGCCGAGATGTGGGGGCTGCGTCTCCCACAGAGGTGGGTTTGGGCAGCCCGGGCCGGACCCTGGTTGGCCCAGAGTTGGTGGCAAGAGCTGTCTGGCCCTGCTGCCAGTTTCCCCCAGTCCCTCTGTCTGCCTGCAGGACCTGGGGGTCTCCTTCGGGGAGTGCAGCGCGGCCCTGGGTCACAACATCCTGGAGCCCATGATGAACCTGGCCCGGTGAGTGCTGTCCCCCACCCCCTGTCCCCACCCAGAATCCCCCGAGGCAGCTGCAGTCCGGCCCTGGTTCCTGGGGGGCAGGGAAGGCCCCAACTGAGGAGGTGGCCCCAGAGTGGATAGGACAGGGAGCAGGACACGGGCTCTGGACTGCAGCCCCGCCCCGTCCTCCTCGGCCTCTGTGTCCTTGATTTCTGGAGGAGGGCGCGTCCCCCTCCTGCTCCCGCCTCCTGTGGATCAGGAGTGAAATCCAAAGGCTCGCAGCGCCCCCTCCCTGAACCCCCTCACGCTCACCAGCTCCAGCCCTCAGGAGCCTCCCTTGCCCCTCTGTGTCCCTCATCGCCCCTGGACAGGCCATCACTGTGCCCACTCTGTCCCTCTGGCCTGCTCTGGTCAACCCCCTGGCACATCCGGGGCCTTCGGTGGAGTCCCAGGGTGTCAGACGGGCGGAGTGCCACCTGGCCCACGGCGGCTGTGCCGTGGGGAGGTGGACGACTTCTTTTACTGTGCCCACCCACGTCTGGGCCCTCTCTCTGCCCAGGGCCCCCTTCCTGCTCACAGGCTGGAGCTCAGGTCCCAGCTCAAACCTGCCCCCACCCGCTCCCTCCCCGGCTGTGGTCAGCCTCTCCCTGTGTGTCCTTTACTACTCAGGGCAGGTCACCTCAGCTTCTTTGTCCCCGTCGGTGTCCCTTCATGGTGCTCGGTGCTCAGTGCACCTGAAGGATACAGAAGAGACACAGAGGGGCACAGAGGGACACAGAGGGCCAAGCTCCCTGGCCCCATTTTTCCAGTGCCAGGAGCATTGCAGGGAGGGGAGGGAGCCCAGGTGCAGCCTCTCAGCCCCTGGCCACCCCCATGGCCCCTCCACACGGTTCCTGAAGGCCAGGGGACGCTAACACCTGGATATTGTCACGCAGGTCACTCAAGGTGCAGGAGGACCGCCTGAAGGGCTCGCTGGTGGAGGTGGCCTCCGAGAGGCCTCCCAAGAGAGCTGGCTGCTGTTTCTGACCACCTGTCCAGTCCCACCCCCTGGTCTTCCTGTCCCTCAGCTCCTGTCCTGCCTTCCTGGACACAGGCAGAAGCCCAGGACCAGCTTGAGAGTCGAGGAAAAGCCTCCTCCAATCAGGACTCAGAGGGCCCCACCTCTGCCCCGCACACTCCAGGGGACTTTGCTGAGTCAAATAAGGCAGTCGGGGATGGAGGTGGTAAAACTCTTCAAGGAAAGGAAAATTCTAGAAAACCAACCTAAGGAGGGGCTGGGGTTGTAGCTCAGCGGTAGAGCACTCGCCTAGCACGTGTGAGGCCCTGGGTCTGATCCTCAGCACCACATAGAAATAGATAAATAAAATAAAGGTATTGAGTCCAACTACAACTAAAAAATAAATATTAAAAAAAAGAAAAGAGAACCAACCTAAGGAAAAGCCCTGAGATATTGGCACTGCATCTCTGGGTGGTAGAATTACCGGGTGTGGGTGTTATGTCTTGCTTCTTGGACCTGTATTTTCAGATTTTCTGCAATGACAGGTGTTTCTGGTACAATCAGGGGGATGGTGAGTTGAAGAAAAACTCTCAAAGCAGTTGCTTGATGCTAGTTCATGATTCATAGAACCTGTTAGTTACAGAGTCCCTCTGTGTGGACGCAGGGCCGGCTGGACTGTGGCTCACTGTTCCATTTACCTACTTGGGCTTTCTTCCAAGTGGCATCTGGCTCCTGGGAGGAGGGCCTTCTGACAGCCCCTGATGGCCCCATGCCCTCCCTTTCCCAGTGACCCACCTCTGAAGGGTCACAACGGGGGGGGGGGTCCTCCTCCTTGCCTTGGTGCCTCGGTGACWACATGCACGGCAGCGGCCCCCTGGATGCGTGTGATTATGGGCCAGGACGCGGCTGATGCGCCTGGGGGGCAGCAGGGGCCAGAAGGGAAGTGTGTTTGGGGGTCTTAGCCTCGCAGGGCTGGACTGTCCCTTGCCATCTGTTTGTGGCCGAGGTCTGTGGCATCTTTCTGGTAACCACAGTGATGCTCACCACAAACTGAATGTCTGGTGGGTGCCCGGGGCTGAGTTTGGTACTTGGTGATGGCAGGGGCGCTGGGGACTCCCCGGCTGTGTCACAGGAAAGCCCAGCCTGGTGGAGAGACCCCCGGGGCAGCTGGAGGGTGAGCGTTAGGGAAAGTGAGGGGAGAGCGGGAGGCAGGGGACACAGCCTTGTCACCTGCTACTCACAGTCCCCCACTCCTGGCCCTGGCCCTCCAACAGGGAGGCCTGGACAGCTGGGAGCTGTCTCACTGGAGGCCACTAGTGGATGTCGGGGACACCCGGAGAGGGCCACGGAAAAGGTTCCAGCAACAGTGGGACTAGGTCCCTTAACAGACCCCATTCCACCTCCCGACTGGATGGGACGCCCCGGGGCCCAGGGACGCCCTCCTGGGCCCTTCTCAACCCCATGTCTCCTTGGGCCCCAGAGCCCCCCTGCCCAGGGYAGTTTCTAGGGGGTGAGGGTGGGGGTGGCAGGGTGGATCGGATGAAGCTGGGCCCTGGCAAGGGTGGGGGGCGGGGCCTGCTATGGCTAATGGCGCTCCCCAGGGTGGACAGGCACCCTCTGTCCTGTGGACCAGGGAGTTAATGAGGATAGTAGGGAAGGTGTGAGCCCTGGGGAGCCAGGACAGGAATGGGCCTGGCCTCAGGCAGCTGGCCCGGGTTCCCCAGGGGCGGGGAGGGACTGCGCGCCTGCGGGGACCCCCTCTGGCTTTCTCTGGCTGGATCCACCTTCTGGGCAGGGGCCACCGGCCTCTCTCAGTGTCCAAGGACTCACAAGTCATCAAGCAGGACGCAGGACGCTCAGAGCTGCGCAAGGTGAGTGAGGACCCGGCAGCAGGGCTCCAGGGGGACTTCAGAGTCAGCTTCGGCAGGTGTTGAATAAGCGGGGCTCTAACCCAGCTTGACCTGAGGCCAAGAAAGGGAGAGGGAGGCTGGGCTGCCTGGGCTCAGGGTGTGACCTGAGAAGGGAAGTACAGGGGACAGACGGAGGCAGAGCAGGGGTACCAAAGAAGACCGTTTAGAATGGGGGGGCAGGGATGGAACCGCAGCCGTCATTTACCCAGTGCCTGGTGGGTGCCTGGYACCCTTCTAAGCAACAAACTCATTTACCTCAATTAATCTTTGCACCAACCCTTTGGAAATTGGGCCTGTTATTACCCCCATTTCACAGATGAGGAAAGTGATGCACAGAGAGGCTGAGTAACTCACCCACAGCCACACAGCTAGTAAATGCTGGAGTCAGGCTTTGAAACTAGGCTCCTGTAGGAATGAGCTGAATCCTGGGGGGTCACAGAGCTTTTTACAGGAATGTGCGGGTGTTTAGAGCAGGGCTTGGGGCCCTCAAGCCTTTCACACACATGCACACACACACATGCACACACACTCCAGTTATTCCATGCCATTGGAGGGCCTGGACCAGGAACAAGAGAGGAAAAAGCCATGACAAACACAGTGACAAAGAGTGGCTGGACTGGAGCATTCATCCAGGCCGTTGGGTATCTGGGCTGGTTCCTCATTTCCTCACCCCGAGTCCCTTAAACCACAGTGTGGGACCCCGGGTGGGTGTGGGTGTCAGAATCTACAGAGGCCCCTCCAGCCTCTCCTGAGCGGCCGGGAGGTGGGGGCTGTGCAGAACTCAGAGGGGCTCTGTGGGGGCACTCCTGCAGGGGACCCCTCAAGCCTGGCTTGGAGCTGCCAAGGGAAGGGCCTCTCCAGTCCCCGGCCCCCAGTGTCGGCGGCAGGGGAGGGAAACTCTCCCAGGACCCCTCGGCCAGGGCAGAGGAAAGGCTGGGGAACSGCCCTTGAGCTAACCGGCAGGATTCTTCCCAGAGGAAGCCGGGTCCTGGCCTGTCTCTGTGCTGGTGGCAGACGATAGCCCCCAGATGACTCTAGGAGGTGAGTCACAGCCATGTCCTCAGCTTGTGGGACACGGGGTGGGGGTTTGACAGCCTGTGGAACTCCCCCTGTCCCKTCAGGGATCCATCACACAACTCTGGGGCAGTGGTCCCCAAGCTGGTCTTAGAGTCACCTGGGATCTATCAAAAATGCCAAAGCCCGGGGGTGCATGGTGGCACACACCTGCCATCCCAGCTACTCTGGAGGCTGAGGCAGGAGGATCGCAACTTCAACGCCAGCCTCAGCGATTCAGCAAGACCCTGTCTCTAAATAAAAAATAGAAAGGGCTGGGGATGGGGCTCAGTGGTTAAAGACCCCTGGGTGTAATCCTCAGTATCAGGGAAAAAAAACCACCACCCAAAGCCACCACATCTCTGGAGGTGGGACCCAGGCTCCAGTATTGCTGAAACCCCCAGGTGGGCCTCAGTGTGCAGAAGAGCTTGGGGACCTCTGGGGGGGCCTATGGACCCTCTCACAGCCCTCTCCTCAGAACTTCAAGTTAAGCATGCCTTTTCTGCAGGCAGGGCAGGATTTCGTTTTTATAAAAATAAAATGTGTTTTATTATAAAATATTTTAAATATATGATATACAAACATAGTATTTATAAAAGTGTGTTGTTTAAAAGTAAATTATATATTTCATTATTTGTAATAAATAAATTAATATTATTATAAGACCACGTATACTCCCTGCAGAAATTTTAGGAATTATTAACAACAAAATGAATATTACCTGAATCTCAGTCCTTGATGCAGCTATTGTTGGTTATCTGTTTTATTTCTTTTTMTTTTTTATTTTATTTTTTGTACTTGTAGATGGACAGCATGGCTTTATTTTATTTATTTTTATGTGGTGCTGAGGATTGAACCCAGGCCTCACACATGCCAGGCAAGCACTCTGCCACTAAGCTACAGCCCAGCCCTCCTTTTATGTTTTAGTCAGTTTATTTTATGTTTGTGGTATCAGGGATGGAACCCAGAGGCGCTCAACCACTGAGCCACATCCCCAGCCCTATCTTGTATTTTATTTAGAGACAGCGTCTCACTGAGTTGCTTAGGGCCTCCCTAAGTTGCTGAGGCTGGCTTTGAACTYGTGATCCTCCTGCCTCAGCCTCCTGAGCCTCTGATCACAGGCTGCGCCACCGCTCTGGGCTTGTTTCATTTCCTCTTTTCTGTACTGTTGAGGGCCAGCGGGGTCAAGGTGTGGCCGGGCGTTGGCAGCTGGACTGTGGGGCGGTGGGGCAGCAGGGGCGGGTCTCTGCAGGGGCGGGCACGCATCTGGGTGCACTGCAGGCAGAGGCTGTGGGAGGAGGAGGCCGGGCAGGCGCAGGGAGGTGGCCCAGGGGTCTGATTTCTCCCCTGTTCTTGTGTGCCTGACACAGAATGGAGCCCAACGCCACCTTCCCTGGGGGGCTCCCGGGGGCCCCCGCGCGCCTGCTGCGAGCGGCCTTGGCGGGGCTCTGCGGGCTGGTCCTGCTGGCGGGGCTGCCGGCCAACGGCCTCCTGCTGCTGGTGCTGGGCCGGGGCCCCGGCTCCCCGCGCCCGCTGCTGGCCCTGACCAACGGCCTCATGGTGAACGTGGCGCTCTCCGACCTGCTCTTCCTGGGCTGCGTGGTGCCCGTGCTGCTGCTGAGCTTCCTGCGCCACGACTGGTGGCTGGGCCCCACGGCCTGCACGGCCAGCCAGGCCATCAACACGGCCACCATGTTCTGCACCTTCTACAGCATGGTGGCCACGGCCCTTCTGCGCCACGTGGCTGTGGCCTGGCCCGGCGCCGCCCTCCCTGCCGGCCGGGGTGCCCGCCTGCTGCTCTGCGGGGCCATGTGGGTCCTGGGTCTCACCGCATCCCTGCCCAACTGGCTGTTCCAGCGGGTGACCGTGGAGCGACAGGCCGTGGGGGCGCCCGGGGCCCAGGCCTGCCTCCTGCTGCTCAGCCCGGCTCGGGCCTCGTGCTACTTCGCCCTGCTGGGGGCGCTGGCCTTCCTGCCCTGCGCGTGGGGCCTGGGCTGCGCCTTCGGCCACGTGGGCTGGCTCCTGCGGACCCGGCCGCGGGGTCCCCCGGGGGAGAGCGTCCGGGAGCACCGCGAGAACACAGGGCTCGTCCTCCTGGTGCTGCTGGTTTTCCTGCTGATGTGGGGGCCCTGCTCCGTGCTGGGCTATGTGGCGGCCACTGGCCGCCTGCCCGACACACCGGTGACCTTGGTGGCCTCCAGCCTCTGCACCCTCCTGGCCTACTCCAACTGCGCCGTCAGCCCCCTCCTCTGCTTGTGCCTCTCTCGCCCCCTCCGAGMCGGGCTCAGGGATCTTTGCCTCAGGCGTCCCAGGGGCGTGGGAGAGGCTGCTGCGGGGAGGGACAGCACCCAGCCTGGGCGCTCAGAGCCCCGGGAAGCCCAGAGGGATCTCAGCCGAGAGGCTGCTGGGAGGGTTGAGGTTCAGGGGCAGTGGGGGGAGCCCAGCTCTTCCATCCACCAGTAGGAAGACGGGTCCACGGGGGGGGGGGGGGGGGGGGGGGGGGGGGGGGGGGGGGGGGGGCGGCCCGCAGCTGGAGCAGTGGCTGAGTTCCAGCTCACCTGTGTAGGTGACTAGGGAGGTAGGCTGGGACACCCAGACCCCTGACGCTGCTACTTTGGATGAGCTTAGGCGAGGCCTTTCACCCCTCCATGCCTCAGTTTTCTCATGTGTAAAATGTGGCCAGGAGACTGCCTCCTTCACAGTCATGAAGATGAATGAACCGCCTTAGTGCATAAGAGTGTGGGTCAGGCCAGGCGCTGTGGGGCACCCTTGTAATCCCAGCAACAGGGGAGGCTGAGGCAGGAGGATCGTGAGTTCAAGGCCAGCCTCAGCAACTTAGTGAAGCCCTGAGCAACTCAGCGAGACCCTGTCTCTAAATAAAATATAAAAGGTGCTGAGGATGTGGCTCAGTGGTAGAGTCCCTGGGTTATATCCCTGGTACCAAAAAAAAGTGTGGGTTATTATTACTATTATGATTTTCCTTCTTTTAACTCAGAGGCATTTGAGATGAATGAATCAGAGGGGCTTCCAAAGGCAGAAAAGCAAAGGGGTGACCTGGGAACCCACAGCCTGGCAGAGTCGGGCGGGGGGGGGGGGGCTAAGTGGGAGGGAGGGGAGAGCTCAGAGTTGGGGGCCTTTCTGTCCCCTCTCCCTTCTCTGCCCCTCCCCCAGATCAGTCCCACACATCCCTCGGCTGTAATGGAATGGAGTGGAGCTGGGCTTGTGGATGTAGGAGCATCGGCTTGTTCCGTGTGGTTCCTCCTCCCAAGGTGGCTTGGCAGGGTTCTTCCCAGGCCACACCTCCCCACCCCTCTGCTACCCAATGTTCCTGCTCTGCGGCCTCYCTCCAGCCTCCTTGGGGCAGGCCTCAGCCTCCTGTTGGCCTGGGAACCTGGGAACCTGGAAAGTTGTCTCTACTGAAATTCCCAAGGCACATGTTTTGCTTGGTAAGAGGGCTGTTCAGCTCCACAAGCGCATGTGTGTACACACACACCCACACACACCCACACACACCCACAACTGGCTTTGTGGTCAAAGGCTTGGGAAATATTGGGTTGAACCAAGTCAAACCTGTCCCTTGGCTGCAGAACTTGTCAGAGCCTTGAATACCCTCCCAGAGAGGCCCAGAGGAGAGGTTTCCCCAACTCCGTGCCGGGGAACCAGAGTTCTGTGGCACATACGTGGAAAGAACCCAGGAGAGGAGCTAGTGTCAGACACAACAGATGCTCCCCACGTCCTGGTTCAGGGCAGCGGCTCTGAACCCCAGTTTCTCTGCYGGGCGGCATCTCCTCTCGATCCTTTCCCACGGTGCCCAGGCTTAAGTACAATGGGCCACCGGTCATGGGAACTTCCCTTCTCCAATGCTGTGACCCCACCCCATTCCCACTCARAGCCTAACGCAAGTCACAGGGGCATCTAATTACAGAGACTGCCGTGAATCAACTCTAATTTACTATAAAATCTTAAGAAGTAAACAAGTCCCAAACTTTTGGTATAATTAGTGCTGAATTCCTCTGATGTGCGGGTTCTGAATGACTGCCCAGAGGGCTGATCTGAGGGCAGACTTGCTGGGAGAAGACAAAAAGTCCCCCTTCCCTGGGACCCTGGTCCCTAATGTCTACTGGGACCAGGAGGAGGACAGCACTTACTGTGTACAGCAGGCCCTGGGCGTGTGCACACACTATGACGTGCCTACCTGTCACTCTGCTTGACCCGACAGTTCTTCAGGGAGGAGAGACGGGCCCCTGCACAGAGGAGCAGGAACTTCTCAGGGGCACRTGGCCTGTGAGTCATCTAGGTTGGGCTGGGAGCTCCCTTTTGGTGCCCCCAGGCCCTGGTCCCTCCCACTGGCCTGGCACCAATGCTCCATGGTGGCACTGATCCCCTCCTCATTTCCCTAGATCAGGGCTTCCTTTGAGGTTATGACTGCATGTGACTCAGTGTCTCTCTCACTGAGCAGGGCCTGGCTCAGTGTTCAGTAAATACCGGTTGAGAGATGAGAGATCAATTGCAAGAGTCATCCATATGCTTTAGAGAATTTGATCACGTACTCACCTCTCATCTCCTCAGTGGTTCTCGGACTCACCAGAATAAATGTCAAAAGCCTTATCATGGACTTCATGACCCTATGCATTCTGGTTTCTTCACCTCTTTGACCTCATCTCCTGCACGTTCCCTTCCTTAGCTCCAACCACATTGGCCTCCTTGTTCTCATTCAAACACACCAAACTCCTACCTCAGGGCCTTTGCACTCGCTATTCCTTTTGCTTGGAACCTTTTTGCCCTAGATATCAGAATGGCTCCCTGTCTCATTGCCTTAGAGCTCGTGTCAACTGTCACCTCCTGGTCACCTCATCTAAAATGCTACTCTACCTGGGCATGGTGGTGCACATCTGTAATCCTGATGCTTAGGAGGCTGAGGCAAGAGGATCGAAAGTTTGAGGCCAGCCTCAGCAATTTTGCAAGACCCTGTCTGAAAAAATAAAAAAAGGACTAGGGGTATGGCTCAGTGTTAAAGTGCCCCTGGGATCAATCCCCARTATTGGAAAACTAAATTAATTAAATAAAATGCCACTCTACCACTGTCTATCCTGCCATTCTCTTACTTCTCTTCCTAACCCTTGTCACGGCCCAGAACTGCTCTGTTAACCTGTCTGCTTGTGTGCCATGGTGTTTTTCTTATGTGTGTTGTTGGAGGTCCCCATGGAGACGGCCTCTCTCTGTCCACTGTGGCAGCCCCTACGCCTAGGCCCAGGGCAGTGCTCAGTGAATCCTGGCTGAACTGAGGAGAGAGAGAGAGAGAGGGGAGGTGGGCTGCGACAACCAGCGGCCCTGTGCCACAGAGAACGGCAAACAAGGTCCTACTAAAAGAACCAAATTTACTTCAGTTTAAGGCAAATTGCACACAGACGGCCTCAGAGACAGTACAGGACCAGACGGCAGAACACCACCACCACCACCACCATGCACGACGAGGAGAGAGGGCGGGAGGCCCATGCGGCAGGACGGCATGCGAGACCTGCGCCCCAGGTGGGGGAGGCGGGCGGCGGCGCGGGGAGACCCCTCCCACCTTCCCACAGCAGGGGCAGGAGCCCAAGTCGGAAGGATGGGGTGTACCTGGGGTGACAGAATGGAACAAGGTGACCCTTGAGCCAAGACGGCCTGGGGTAAGGGTCGCGCCGGGGAGGAGTGGGATGGGGAGCTGGACATGGAAGCCACTACAGAGGGAAACCCCGGGACGATCTGGTCACCCGCTCCCCATAAAGATGTGGAAACCGGGGCACAGAAGGCGAAGGGCCTCGCAGGCAGGGGCGGCGGGGCTGGAACAGAGCATTCCTGCCCTCTGTCCCCAGACAGCAGGGCGAGGGCAGGCCACAAGTGGACACCCCGGAGGAGCAGGGACACCTGGGGCCAGGCGTCAGCTGTGAAAGTGCCTGCAGCCCGCACCAGGGAGAGGCCTGGGCATTACGTCTGGACAGCGTCACGCGACCTGAGGTCCCAGAAAGGGCTGTTAAGAAGCCTGACCCTGGGCCAGCACGGCCCCGCTCAGGGGGCTGCAGGGCTCCCCGGCACAGGGTGCTCCTGGGAGGGTCACAGGCTCAAGCATTCCTGCAGACCCATCACCTCGGGGTGCACCACAAATAGGGCACAGGAGCGTTCATTGGAGGGGGATCCGGGATAGCAGTGGACAGCTCAGGAGGATGGGAGGGCCCTGGGCCAGGCCCAGGCTGGGTTTCGGGTGCTAGGTGAGCAGATGGGACTACTGGCAGTGATGGGGGGCGATTACCCCCATTTATACCCTCCTGGCTGGACTACCGGGGAGTATCAGGAAGCAGAGGGCTGGAGCTCAGGACCCGCGCACCCCTGCGTCCAGGCCAGGGAATTGGGGAGGAGCCTCCGGAGGCCCCGCCCCTGCCAGCCTCCCAGGCACTCCGATGTCCAAAAGGCTGGGTGGGCCAACAGCAAGGGGTCTGGGGACTCAGCCTACTGGCCTGGCCCCCCACTCCCGGGGCACCTGCCTGCACAGCCAGGCTCAGATGTGCGTGTGCAGCGGGGAGGCAGGGGGCGTGCGGGCCGGGGACTGCGGCGGCGAGGGCTCGGGCGCTGCGGGCGGGGGGCGCGGGCGGATGCCCTGCGCCTTCATGTAGGACACCAGCTGGTCCGGGATCTCGGCCAGCACGTCGCGGGCCAGGCGGGCCATGCTCAGCACGTGGTTGCCTGTGCGATCCACATAGTCCCTGAAGGGCACGAACTGGCAGGCGGGAAGGCAGGGTCAAGGGGTGGCTCCCTGGACCCTGGTCTCCCAAAAATGCAGGACTGGGGTCATGTCCCACCCCCTCCAAGACCCTCCCCACCTCACTCAACTCCCCTAGGTGAATTCCCCCAGGGACCGTCTTAGTCACGGTTCTTTCATTCACTTAAAAAATACCCAAGGTGTGTCTATCCCATGCCAGGCTCCAAGGCTCAGGAACACTCCTCAATCTCTGACTCTGGGCACCGCTGTGAGCCCTTGGAAGGTGCTGGCAAAGGCCGCACAATCCCCTTTTGGGCCCCGGCCTCCTCCCAACTCTCCAACAGAGCCCTGGCTCCCTGTCCCCCTCTCCTTCTATCTTTGAGGCTAATCTGGTCAACACCACAGTCAGGCTTCTCTCCCTTCCTCCCTGCAGCACCCCCAAGGGTTCACTCCTGCCCCAGGGCCTTTGCTCATGCTGGTCCCTCATCCCAGACCACCTTTACTCTGGGTTCCATCCCTTATCTTTGTTCTCCAGTTTGTAAACCAATGGGTTATGAGAATGTCCATTTTGAGGTTCTGCATTTTGGGGTTCTGCATTGCCTGTGTACTGGGGACATGGTATACAGGGGATTCAAAGGGACACGTGCTTGCTGAGCATGGCTTCCACGGCCTGGCCAGATGGGAATTCCCTGGGGACAAGGCCCTTGCTCTTTCCATTAGTGTCCTGCGTGGAGATGTGAAGACACCGGGTCACTGAACCACACAATGCCCACTCCTGCAGAGGGCTGTGGTGACACAAAGGATAGCACCTCCACCTTGAAGGGTTTGCATGTCACTGGGAGGCCACCAGGCAGGAAACAATAGAAAGTGCATGGCCAGGGAGGCCTGGGGTGCAGGGAGGGCTGGCAGAGCATCTGGGTTGGGGGGGGGGGGGGGGGGGGCGGACATCAGCAATGTTAGGGGAGAGCCCAGCCTCGGGAGAAGTGTGACTGGAGGGACTGACTCTTCCCTTCTGTGACGGCCAGGCCCTTCCCCAGGAGGCCTGCGGAACCCCAGGGGCTCAGAGGGCTGGAGTCTGCATTTCTGTGCAGCAGGCAGGGTCTGGGCTTCACCTGGACAATGTCCCTCTCGGCCAGCTTCCCCCGGGAGGAGATCCGCACGTCATCGCCGTCCAGCTCTACCATGGCTGCGTGGGCAGGAGCGACATGGCGGGGAGGGGTTAGTGTGGACCTGGGGGATGGGTCTGCAGACTTGTCCTCCAGTCCCGGGCTACACCAGGGCAGAGGCCATCTGCGGGGCCCTCATGTCAGATACGAGGACGCCAAGGCTGGGAGTCAGGAGGAGGCCAGCCACTGAGCCCAGGGGGATCCCGCCCGGGGCTCCTGCTTCCCACCCTCCTGCTTCCCACCCTCCCCGGGTTCCAGGGTTGGAGGAGAAAGGAGCGGCTGGGGCCTCCTCCCGCAGCCTTGGGGTGAGGGCGTGGGGTGCACACCTCGACACGCCCCTCTCTGTGCAAAGAGACACACCCAGACAGTCACACTCCCAGGCCTCAGCGCTCACTGTCTGGGGCTCACAGGGCACTGGGGCTCTGGGGAACATGGGCAGGGGGGTGGGGAATAGGGAGGACACAGGGGACCTCGGGACTCACCATCGAACTCTGCCTGGCCCACGCCGATGATGATGATGGACATGGGAAGTTTGGCAGCCTGAGAGACAGCGTGGGGGCGGTCAGACCCAAGGGGCCGGGTGAAAGAAACAGAGATTGTGGACGGGGCAGGAAGGCGGGTCCACAGAGAGAGGCGGGATGATGGACAGACAGGGAGAAGCACAGAAAAGGGGGAGAGAGAGAAGGGAACGGAGGAGGCAGGGCCCAGGGAAGAGGGGTGGGAGGGAGGGGGCAGGGGGAAATGGGTCACGGCCTGCTTCTGTGCCCACTGTCCCCTCTTCTGCTGTGGGCTCCCACCACGTGGGCCCCTCTGTTCTGTGCTTTGGAGGAAGGACTAGGGCAGCTGTGGTGGAAGACCACCGAGCACAAGGAGCGGTGGCTCCCCCCAGGGCCCCCCTCTACCTGGCCTGGCTGGCTGGGGCCTGGCAGCAATCCTAGAGACGGGTGAGGGAGGAAGCCACAGGCCTCGGGAGGGAGGGACCACTGGGTGTGACTCAGAGGTGGGCACAGAGCTCTGTGGCCCAGAGCCCCTTCCATCCACCACCCCGACACCCCACACCCTGGCCCTCCCCAGAGTCCCAGGAGACGCACAGCCAGCAGCCAGGACGGGATGAGGGCGGGGAGAGAACTGGGCCCCACCCAGTGACCCCCAGCTCCTCCCTCCGTGTGTCCACCCTTCTCACTCACGTTGACAATGGCCTCCTTGGTCTGCGCCATGTCCGAGATGACCCCGTCGGTGATGATGAGCAGCACCGAGTACTGGGAGCCGTCCTGCACGGCCGCCGCGCTCCTGGACGGGCGAGCGAGGGCTGAGGTCCTGGGGGCCTCTGGCACGAGGCCCCCAACAAGGACCCTGAACTTTGATGGGGACAGATTTTTGGAGAGGAGGGGTCTCTTCAGAGTTGGGGTTCACCGAGAGAGGGTCCGCAGGAAGAGAGATGCGCCATCCAGGGTCGGCAGGCAACGCCAAAGGCCCTGTGGGCTGCGGGAGGGAGCCCAGCGGCCCTGCACTCACCTGGCCACGTGGGTGACCACGGGGGCGAAGTTGGTGGGGCCGTAGAGCTGCACGGTGCGCAGGCTGCGGTGGTAAGCCTCCAGGATGCCATCRATGCCACAGCACGACGGGTTCTCCTGGTTGCCGTTCTGGGGCACAGAGGACGGAGAGGCTGAGCCCAGGGAAGGCGGAGGGGGCTACAGGAGCGCAGCCAGGGTCGGGGGCCAGCAGCCTGGGCCCCCAGAGCTGCCYTGAAGGGCCAGACCTGCTCCTTGCCCAGTGCCTGCTCAAAAAGGCCCTGGAGAGCTGGTGCGGTGATGGATCGCAAGTTCAAAGCCCGCCTCAGCCACTTAGCGAGGCGCTAAGCAGCTCAGTGAGCCCCTGTCTCCAAATAAAATACAAGATAGGGCTGGGGACGTGGCTCAGTGGRTTAGCACCCGTGGGTTCAATCCCTGCTTCCCTCAGGCACCCTCTGGCAAACCCTCCGAACCCTCATGAGTGACTCAGGAAGGGCCTGTGACTCCTCTGTCCTCAAGCGTCCTGTGCCCAGCATGGCACCTGGCACACCCAGGTGCAGGAGTAAGCTATGAGGACTGACTGTCCCCTGCTCATGGGAGGGAGGGACACAGGGAGGGAAGGTGGTCTGAGTGTCATCTACACAGGGCCCARGAGCCCCACACGGTGCCAGGTTCTGTCACCAGGGGAACCCACCTCACCCTATCTCAGCACCCCCTTATCTTCTTTTGGGGGCTTGGGGTTAGGTCCCCTCCACCTGTACCTTCTCAGGAAGGGGGAGCCCAGAGCCAGCTGTGGGCAGCCCAGACCTGGAGGAGAGGGACTCCTGTGCAGGGAGGGCGGGGTGTGTGTTGYCAGAGGCCTTGACACTGTCCCTAGGCAGAGCAGGTGCCAAGTCCCCCAGAGGCTGCGCCTGAAGTCCCCAGGCCCAGCAGAGCAGCTGACGCCCACCTGGGCTTGTCACCACACCCCTGGCCTAGTCTGCACCCAGCCCACTCCTGGGACCTCCTACCAGTGGGAACTCGTGCGACACCCTGCCGTCGGGGGGCAGCTTGGCKCCGAAGCCCAGGGCGGGGAACATCTTGTCGCTGTCGTAGTGCTGGATGATCTCCCCGACCGCGGTCAGCGCCAGCGCGTAGGCGTTCAGCTGGTAGGGACTCATGTAGTGCAGGGACGTGGACTGCGAGGGGTTCCCTGCRACACAGGACACAGGGACATCTGCTGGCCTGGACCCCAGGCTCAGAATGCAGAGGGGGTGTGGAAGGGCACCCTCACTTGTCTTCATCCACCCTTGACACCTGTTTCTCAGATGTGTTCCATCCTTCAGTGTGCCCAGCTGCTGGGCCTTCAAAACGAACCTGGAACCCCACCTCTGCCCCCCACAGGAGCACCGCCCTCTGCAGCCTCCTGATGGGCCTCCCTGCTTCCGTCCACCTGGTGCCTACAACCCCTCGCTCAGCTCCCTGGCGGAGTTCAGCGGTTCATTAAGAGGCAGGACAGATGACCAAGGAGCCACTGCTGTCTCTRCCTCCTTGTTGTGTGACCTTGTGAAAGTTCCTTAACCTCTCAGCCTCAGTCTCCTCATCAGTAAAATGGGGATAATAGCTCCTACTTCCTAGGATGGCAGAGAATTAAGCAGGCGTTATTAATGTAAGTGTTGTCACTGTTATGATTACTAAGCCCCCCCAGTTCTGCYAGCACCCCATGATGCTGGGCCCTGCAACCCTAAGAGGGGTTTCTGACCCGGGCATGATGCCCAGGAGCCCAGATGTGCAGTGTCAGTGTCTGGCTGAGGGAGACGGCCGCATCCTGGTTGTGTCTTGGTCCTGMAGGCCTCAGGGCCTCTTTTCTTGGTAAGGAAGTGGCCAGAGAGCGTGGAGGAAGTGGCTCGTGGTCAGGTCGGCCACCGGGGCCTTGAGAGCTCTCCTCCCTCTGCCCATCCCCCACTCACCRTTGGAAGCCGTGAAGTCAATGGCCACTGTGAAGTTGATCTGGGTCCTAGAAGAGGGAGAACAGCCAGGGAGTCACCTGGAGAGAGGGAGGGCTGTGGGGAGGGTGGACCTTGCTGGGCAGGGAAGGAAGAAACCAGCTGCCACTCCTCCCAGTTCTGAGGCTGGGACAGTAACACCCGTCAGGCCTTCCCCAAGGGACTGCCACGAGCAGGAGTCAGGCAGTGCCAAGGCTCTTCTTGGTGATCTGTTCTGTGTGGGCACATGGCCACCTTCCTCCCTTCCTCCCTGGACCCTGCCCTCTGGGCCCACCTGAGTGGACCAGGTGAGGTCTGGCCTCCATGGGTTTCTAGTCCAAATTGGAGTCTGATTCAGGATTAAAATGAGTGACTAAAAGACAGACACGATACATCTCACCATGAGGGAGGGCAGGATCCCACCCGTGAAGCTGTCTTGCCAAGAGATCTGACTGAGCCAGGTGCAGTGGCACACGCCTGTAATCCCAGCAATTTGGGAGGCTGAGGCAGGAGGATCCCAAGTTTGAAGCCAGCCTCAGAAATTTAGCCAGGCCCTAAGCAATTTAGTGAAACCCTGACTCAAAATTAAAAAAAATAAAATGGGCTGGGGATGCGGCTCAGCGGTCAAGCACTCTGGGCTCAATCCCCAGTACCAAATAAATCAATAAATACAAGGGAACAGAGCACATGTTTAAATGACACCATGCAGGATGCAGCCAGCAGAATCCAGCCTGGGGAAACCACATGGAGCACAGTGGAGAGAGGTCCACACTGGACAAGACGCCCAGCTGCAKCAGCATCACTTGGGAACCTGGGGCTCTTGGGTCCCCTCCGGACCTCCCAAGTCAGAATCTCCTGGGGAATGCAGGAATCTATTTTAGCCCTTCATGTGCTTGGGGGAAACAACAGATGAAAAGAGAATTAAGAGAGAAATCCAAAAATCGATATATGGATTTGCCTAGATTCCTGACTCCAACAACTTTTTTTAGTACTGGAGATTGACCTCAGGGGCACTCCACCACTGAGCCACATCCCCAGCCCTGTTTTTTATTTTATTCAGAGACAGGGTCTCACTGAGTTGCTTAGGGCCTCACTTTTGCTGAGGCTGGCTTTGAACTCCTGCCGCAGCCTCCTGTGAGCCACTGAGATTACAGGCATGTGCCACCGCCCCCAGCTAAAACAAAACATTTTTTAAACACTTTAAAGACAACTGGGGACATTTGAATACTGACTAGATATTTGGCACTAAGGAACTGCTTGATTTTTTTTAGTTATTATGGTATTATTACCAATTATGGACTATGGTTTATTTTAGTGATTCTGGTATTATGGCAATGTTTTACAAAGAGTCCTTATATTTTGGGAGACATCCTGAGACCGGCTTAGCTGGAAACTGCTAGAGCCTGATGGGGAGCCCTCGGGATTCACTCTGCCTTCTCTCCACTTTTTCACGTTTAAAATTTTCTATAATAAACTGTCAGTTTGGAGGGTTCAGATCCAGGTTGACACTCTCTGAGGGCTGTGTTCTAAGATTTGTGCCAGACACAGAGAGAACAAAGTAGATCAATACCTGGGCCCCAATGAAGTGGAGTCTTGTGGTTCTCAGACTGCAGAGAGTGTAGAGAGAAGATTCTGGGCTCCCGTCCCGAGATATCAATTTAGCTGGTCAGGAGTAGGGCCCCAGAATCTACCTCCCTAACTAAGATCTAGAGATTCTGAGGAGGGGGTTGTGGGATGACATTTGGGGAAGGTGCTCTGGTGGCCCTGAGTTGGGGCTTCCGGGCATGCGAGGAGGCAGACCTCATCTTGCATTTAGCAAAAGGTCCCTATCAGAACCCACAGCTGATCCTACAGCTGAGCTGCCCTTCATGGGACCCTTGTCCCTGGGAAAGGTCAAGGACATGGTTAACAGGAGACTCAAGTCAGGGTCTGCTGGCTGGAGACAGATGTCCCCCCACAACACGCACTCTTCCCCCTCTTCTGTAGGCATTCCACGGACTCCTGTYTCTAGGGGACAAGGAACCACAAAAGCCTGGAGCCCTGGGTGACTGGTGGACCATCTCCCCACCCAACCCCGCTGTCCCCCGGATGAGAACCAAGCATGTATGAATGGAGCCTTGAGGTCTGGGGAACACTATGGCAGCATTCCATCTGCCCTATTCACCTTCTCTGTTGTGTGTTGTCACCTCTCCGTGGGTGCCTTTGTTAGAGCCCTGCGCCCAGTGGTTCTGGCCTGCATGACAATAGCTGAGAGTACTGGCTCTCCCAAAATCAGGGTGAGGGGAGGGCTCTGCCCTACTCCTTGATTCTCTCCTTCTTTGCATCCTAAAAAATGCTGGGGGTGGGGAAGCAACTGGAAAGCAGCCCCTTCTGTAAGGAATTGCTCCCTGCAGCCCCCCCCCCTCCCGCCGCCCCCGGCTCCTGGGGCTCAGGTGTCCAGAACTTCCTCCCGGGTCCTGGAGGATGCAGGAGGTGGGCCAGAGACCAGGAGGAGAGGGTCCCTRGACAATGCCTCCAGCGCTTCCTGCCTGGACACGCAGGCCGGGCTCTCACTGCTGAGCCAGTTCTCTTACTCAGGTTCTCCAGGGAGTTTGGAGAGAGCGTGGGGAGGGAGGCTGGCTCTGGGCCAGGGCCAAGGTGTTAGCTTTGCCAGTGGCCTGGCCTGGGAGGGCTCCCTCTCACAAGACCTCACAGCATTCGGCCCTTTCACCCCAGCTCCATCCCACCCAAGTGAGGGGCCTGGCAGGGCCAAGATTAACCACTAAGGGACAAAGGCAGAAAGTTGTGACAGTGGGATCCCAGCCACCATCTAGGTGTGTAAAATGGAGACAAGGTACACACACACACACACACACACACACACACACACACACACACATCTGCGTCTGTAAGTGGCAGGCGCTATGCAAATGAGAAGGATAAACAGGGTGGAAATGGTTTGAAAATTACCCGGATGCAGGGGCTGCCAGCTTAATGGGTCAGAGGAGGCAGCAGGTCTGATGGGGGAGGGAGCAAGGCCAGGGAGTGGAGCYGGCTAGGAAGGGCCAGAGGAGACTTCCGGTGACCGGTGACCGCAGGGAGGGTGTGTCTGTGTGTGTGCTCAGTGGCTGGGACACTTGCGACCTTGAGACGCAGAGAGTCAAGTCATGGGAAAGTGTGTTTATCATCCAGGGCCCGACCTCTCCCTCTGCCCTGGAGGACCAGGCAGCCAAGTGCCTGCTCGGTGGCGGGGACCAGCCTCTCTGGCCTGTCTCCTGCCTGTCTCCTTTCCAGGCAGGTGCAATCGCTCACCTGCCTGCACCTGTCGGCTCTCAGCTGCCCACGCCCTGGCCTGGCAGGGATCACGCCAGACAGGCCCTTTGCTTAGGGTCAGGCTCTTTCCATGAGCTGCTGGCCAGAACCTCCTGGCCTCGCTGTGTGTCTGGGCCTGGATGCCTGCCTCTCTGGTCCTATCTGCCCCTTAAGCTCGTGTTTGACCACCTGCTGTCCCTGGGTCCTTCCCTTGCTCATCCCCTAATCCTGCTGCCCCTTACAGATGATCCCTGATAACAGCAAGCCACCGCTGCCCCCGCCCTGACAGATCAGGGGTACCGGATGCACAGAGCTGGAGGGGACCTTGACCTCACCTACTCTATATAGTCTCTTTGCAGAGGAGGACACTGCTGCCCKGGGAGGGAGAGGGACTTGACCCAAACAGTCCAGCAACTTTACGGCAAAGAGGGGCCTAGAGTCGGGGTCTCCTGACTCCTGGTCCAGGGCTTTTCCACTTCCCCAAGCCCCTTGCTTCTTTCTGTCATGGTGTCCCCAACACCTCCAGGCTCCATCTCCACGTGGGGACACGACCCAGGCTGGTCTCCCTAGCTCAGGATCCAGGGGCAGACAGGGCTCTGGAGCGGCTGTGTCCGGTCAGACACTGGGGTGTGCTCAGAGCCCAGTGTCACAGGTTTGGTCCAGGATCTCAAAGAGGCCAGGGTGGGGCCAGAGCCCCAGGTGGGTCAGTGTGGGCGCCCCTCCCCCTCCCCAGGGCCGGTTCTCCTCACCCTCCTTTGATGTAGTCTAGGAAGGTGCACTCGGACTCCACCGCGAAGGACAGCAGAGTGACCTTGAAAACAAAAGGGGGCTTGGTTAGTGGGAAGCGTGGGGTGGGGAGAAGGTTCATGACGCCATGTGACAGCTGACACGGTACGCACTCAGCATGGGCCACTTTGGCCCACGTCACTGCAGGCCGTGCCCCTAGCAACCCCCTGAAGCCCTTATTATTATCTCCATGTTACAACAAGGAAACTGAGGCCCCAAGAGGTGACACAGCACGTCAGGAATACTGCCAGGATGTGGCAGGCTGGGATCTGACCCGGGGTCTCRTTTCAGAGCCTGCGTTCTTTATTTATTCTGGGGTACTGGGGATTGAACCCAGGGGCTTAACCACCGAGCCACMTCCCAGCCCTGTTATATTTTATTTAGAATCAGGGTCTCACTTAGTTGCTTAGGGCCTTGCTAAGTTGCTGAGGCTGGCCTCAAACTTGCCACCTTCCTGCCTCAGCCTCCAGAGCCACTGGAATTACAGGCGTGAGCCTACACTCTCAATCTTGATGTCAAACTGCATCCCAAAGGGTCCCACCTGTCACTGGAGCCCAGGGGCCCAGGCCAAGGGCACAAGTGTCCTCTGAGTGGGCGCTGGCTCTCCTGCCCTAGGATCCCCAGGGTGGGGTGGGGAGGAGGGAGGCTCCTGCCTGGCACAGGACTAACCACTGCCAACACTAACAAGCTCCGCGCTTCTGTCCACCTCTAGGGACCCCGAGACGGGCCTCTTGATCTGTGCTTATCTTAGACCTCTCTGCTCCTGCTCAGCCCTCCGTGTCTCTCAGCCCCCACCCTCAGGCCCAAGACCCTCGGGAGCAGCCAAGACAGGCCACCACGGGRCAGCTCACGACAGCAGGGGCTTGGGGCCGGGGAGACCATGGAGCTGGGCCTCCTAAGGCAGGAAAGTGAGGCAGGGCCAAGCAGGGCCCTTCTCCCTCAGAAGAGGGCCGGCGTCTCTGGGAGCCTGGACACGACGCCAGCTCACAGGGTGCGCCAGGCCCAGGGCCACAAGACGTATGAGCCTTTCCCTGAGCAAAGGGAGGGTCTGCGGGTGCTGCGCTGGGCCCCAGGTGCCCCCGTTCACCGTGCTGGGCACCTGGAGGAACAGCTGCGTCTCCTGAGCATGGTGACTCTCAGGAATGGACGATAGCCATGGCTTCGCCCCTGACTGAGCGCCATCAGGCTCCCTGGGGAGCTCTGAGGACGTCCTGCAGCCCAGGTGGGGACCTCCAACCAACTATCAGAGTTTCTGGGACGACAGGGCAGTTCYGGAGACCTTAATTTACTTCTTCACAGGACTCTAACCTGCAGCCAGGGAATGGCCACCGTCTCCACCCGCCACGCCCAGGCTCTGGGACTCTGTGTCTGGAGACACTCAAGAGTCTTGCTGCTGGATAGAAATGCAGACTCTTGGCATTTTAGTGAGATCCCTGGGGGATTCTGCTCCCAGTAAGGAACAAGAAGCACTAAACAGAGCCCTGGCCTGAGCCTGGGCCTCCTAAACAGGACCCCAGGGAACTGGCCCAGGCATCTGTATTTTCACAAGCACCTTGGATCCTGGTGATTTTTTTTCTTTATGGTGCAGACTGGGAAATGCTGGGAGTTGGCCATCACAGGYGGTGTGCGCGTGTACATGTCCACGTGCACGTTTCTTCTCTCTGTCCCCCAGCAGAATAGAAGCACCAGGAACCTGGGTCTGTCCTGTGTCCAGCTGTATCTCCTGAGCCTACAGCAATGCCCAGTGGATGGCAGTGCCCAGAAATAGGTCTTAAAAAAATGCACAGATATTCTGAAGACCACCCTTCAGAAGCCACTGGACCTGGGTGGCACCCCTGGACAGCCGTGGTCGAGCAGTGGTCGTGCTGCCAGCAGGCGCCAGGCCTAGGGTCCACGGTGGTGTTGGCCAGGCGCAGTGACACACGCTTGTAATCCCAGCGGCTCAGGAGGCTGAGGCAGGAGGATTGTGAGTTCAAAGCCAGCCTCAGCAACTTAGTGAGGCCCTAGGCAACTCGGCAAGTCTATTAAATCTATATTTTTTGAAAGGGCTGGGGATGTGGCTCAGTGGTTAAGCACCCCTGGGTTCAATTCCTAGTACCAAGAAAAAAAGAAAAACAGGTGGTGCCGATGCCATCTCTGTGGCCTTCCGGCTGTGTGACCCTGGCTGAGTCACTTCCCTCTGGCAGCCCTGCTTCCTCTTCATGGCAAGCGGGTGCTCACGTCTGTCTGCCCCGCAGGGAAGCAACCTGTGAAAACCACCTCACTGGGGGATTCCCCACAAACGCAACTCCCCTCTTCCTGCAGGAAGTCCTGCATGCGGTCTCTCTGTGATCCAGTGCCTCTCATCTGGTCTACACGTCCACCCCCAGGCTGCTGCCCTATCTGGCCAGTCCTCCTGGGTCAGATTCCCACACTCTGCAGGTAACCACAGGCACCAGAGCCTCTGTCCCCAGGCCAAGCTTGGGACTCAGGGTGCGGACACCCAGCCATGGCGATCGGGTACTCACCGTGCCAGAATTCACGTATTTCTTTTTCTTCATTTTCTTTTTCGGGTTGATCACCTGGAGAAACAGACCAGTGATGGGTTCCCAGTGGTCAGGGAGGGGCTCTGAGGGCTCCCACAGACCCTGGGTGTGGCCCAGGCCCCTGCCCCAGCYGGTGTGGGGTGCAAAGACCACAGAGTCCAGGGAGTGGGGCCGAGGGAGGTCCTGCGGGAGACCGGCCTTCAGTGACGCAACTGCGCTCCCCGCGAAGACCGGCGTCCACCTCGAACACAGCTGGACTGCTCATCTAACCTTCTCTCCCACCGCTCCCCAGACACGTCCTCCACGCAGGAGAGCCAGAGAGGGCTCCGTGTCGMAAGGCAGGCCTGCCTGTGCCTGCCCTTCGTATCGGCTCAGGTCGCTTCTCACACCCCAGGCCCCCTCCTTTCCYTTGGCCTCGTCCAATCCTCCCTGCTCCTCCGCAGGGCCCAGCCCAAGGGCTGCCGTGGGGGGCCTCTGAGGCTCCCCTCTGGGTCACCACCTCGACCCACAGAGGCTCCTTCACTATCATCATTGAGCTACATCCCCAGCTATTTTTTACTTATTTATTTTGAGACAGGGTCTCACAAAGTTGCTGAGGCTGGCCTCSAACTGGCTATCCTCCTGCCTCAGCCTCCCGAGTCTCTGGGAGGCCATGGGGCATCCAGCTGTCACTGTAAGCTTTAACTTCCAAAGCCACACCTGTGGCCAGATGCTTTATCACAGGGTTAGGCACACAGTAAGTGCTCAATAAAGGTCCAGTGGGATAACTCAGAAATCCCACCAGGGACAGGTCTGCCCCCAGGAGCCATTTGGTAATGTCTGGAGATGGTTCTGGTGGTCACTGGGGAATGGGTGGGGGCCAGGGACAGCCAGAAGGGACAGCCGGGGACAACAGCCACCACAAAGAATGATCCAGTCCCAAACGTCAGAGTGCGGAGGCTGAGACCCGGGCCACCTTGTCCTGGGGTCTCCCGCCAGACCTGGCTCTTCCCCCCTCAGCCTTGCCAGCTCTTTTTTCCCTTTTTTAACAGGATAAGTCTGGGCACAGCCTTTCCCTGGCGACTTTCACACCTGCTTGGCCACCTGGTGAACTCCACCTTCCCTCTCCCACAGGCCTGTGCTGCCCCCAGGGCCTGCAGCTGCATCTCTGTGATCTTTCCTGTCCAGATGAGTACTGATAGCTACTTCTGGAGATAAGGAAAAACGGGGCACAGAGATACCAAGTGATTTGAGTAAGGTCACACAGCCATTTGGGTGATAAGGCTGGAAACCAGGCTTCCTGCCCCCAGGCCAAGGGTACAGACGTGCAGGAGTGACACCCAGATGCAAAACACAAACATATCCTCTCAACACACGTTCATAGGGCGGGGCGACCACTTCCTCTYCCTTAGAACTGTCACTCTTGTCCGAGAAATAAGATACATCTTCAAGGCAGTAAGTGACAAGGGACACCACAGAGGAGGAGGAAGAGGAGGATTTGAGGGAGGAAAGACATGGGAGGCAGGGGGCAGTGAAGGCAGACCCTGAGGGACAGGAGGCTGTGGGTATGGAGAGGTCAATGTCAGAGGAGATGCTTTGGGAGGAGAAGCCCAGAACTGGGGTCTGGTTTGACGGCAGAGCCCCAGGGTGGAAGAGTCAGCTGGGTGGCTGGACAAGCCAGGAAGGCCAGGGGCAATGTCTGAATGTCACCCAGCTGCCAGCAGGAAACTCCCAGGACCTCTAGGCTAGTGGAGGACGAGATCACAGCAGGCTCTAGGGTGCTGGGCCTGGTGGGGGTGAGAGCCAGGGAGGGGGAAGAGGGACATCCAGCGGATGTTTGCCTGGTTCTGCCACCCGAYAGCTGTGTGACCTTAGGAGAGTTACTTAACCTCCGTGTGCTTCAGTTTTCCCAGCTGTAAAATGGGCACAGAGAGCACCCACTGCAGGGAAAGGAATGGGGATTAAGGGAGTCGGTGTACGTCAGTGCTCAGAACCAGGTGGACTGTCGTAGGTGCTGTACAGGGGTCAGCTGCTATTCCAATTCCTGCACCACAGGAATACAGGTGACGGGCAGTGAGGACGTGGGGTGCTGGGACAGGTGTGGCAGGAACAGCACTGCTGACAGTGGCCAATGGGGCTGGGGCTGGAGCTGGGGAGACGCTTGCCTACACCTGTGAGGCCCGGGGCTGGACCCTCAGCACCATGTGAAAATGAATAATGGTAAAATAAAGGCATGCTGCCCACCTAACACTACCAAAAAAAWTTTTTTAAGTGGCCACACATCTTGGGCCTTGGGGGTGGCTGCAGAGATGAGGGACAGTAGGGATGGGGTGATCCCATAGACAAGAGGAGCTGGATTGGGGCACAGGTGGGACATCAAGCGGGTGACTGGCAAGAAGTGCAGTGGAACTGAGGGCCTGCAGAGGAGGCCAGAGTCGCCTTGGAGGGCTCTCTTCAGCGCTGGCGATGCCCCTCCACAGGCACTCGCGGCCCAGGGCTGGGGCACTTCCAGACCCGCTCGTGGGGTGGGGCTTAATGAGCAGGTTCKCGGGGAGCCAACGCCTTCCCCGAGGCACTGGACTGTTAGAACCCAGTGTGTCCCCAGCTTCTGCTCTGAGCCAGCCCCGTCCTCCCAGCTGAGGGGAGTGGGCGGACTCCTCGGGCCCTGGGTGTGTCCCCTTTCTTTGAAGGCTTGTGTGTGGCCGAGTGAGCTGCCATCCACTCTGTCATGCGACAATTAGGAGGTCAGCGCTGTGGTTCGTCTCAGATCTTCTGTGAAGTGGGCACTTCTGCAGATCTGTTTACCCACAGGTTTCCTGGGCTCCCCACAGCACGCCCTCCCCCAGGGAACCGCCTCTCCAGCCCTGTGGCCGCCACCAGCTCCAGCAGGGCACCAGCGCCCCTAGGGGCCACCCAGGGAACCTCCCCACTCCACTCGGCCTCCTCCTCCTTCCCAGAGGCCACCAGGCCCCCCAGCACAGGTCTGGGGTCTGCCCTCCCGCACACCAGGRTGCCGAATGGCTCTGGCATACAGAAGTGAGACTCTGTCCCCCACCACGACTTCATGGCCTTCATGGCGGGGGGCAGTACGGTGAAGAGGTAATAGTCACAGGGTGCCCAGGAGCACTCTGGGGTGGGATGGGCGTGCCCGACCCCAGAGCCACATTCCCAGCCCTTGTGAATATTTTACTTTGAGACAGGGCCCCACTAAGTCGCTCAGTCCTGGAACTTGTCCTCCTGCGTGTGCCACCCTACCTGCCCTAGACAGGAAGGGGAGTCTGCAGTCAGACTACCACTCAYGTGCCCACTTCAAAGCTCTGCTTCAACACTAAACAGTCACCCTTGAGTGGCAACGTGGAAGATGTGCTTGTGGTCAGGACTTCGGGCCACCCCCAGAGCTCTTTAGGTGCCTGTCATGAAGACCCACCCAGGGGATGATAAAGATGGTGCTGGAAGACTGCGACAGAGGATCCGAGGTCAGGACGTTCGGGTGGCAGAGAGCAGCGTTCAGTGGTGGATGAGATGTGGGGTGGGGGGTGTTCTGGATGACTCCCAGCCTGTGCTGGGCAGTGGGAAATGCAGCCAGCTGGCCAGGGGCTGGGCGGAGCTGAGGGAGGCTTACCCAGGAGTCAGTTCTGGAAGGCTGAGCGCAGGAAGGGGTCAGCAGACAGCGAGGCCCAGGAGCCTGACTCCCAGGGCAGCGCCAGGACCCAGGGTGGGGTCTTAACTGGTGGGCAGCCTCCTCCTTCTTTGGGCAGTTCTGACTATAGCAAGGTCTTCCTGGGCCCACCCCGGCCTGCCAGTGACCCCCCCACACAGCCTGCTCTTGGGGCTGCCCATGTGGAGTTCCTCTTCCACTTAGTTCTCACACRACCACGTCTCTTGCTGATTGCAAAGAAGCAGAAATCCACAACAGAGAAGCAAGGTCATCCCAATGCTTCTGCTTTGGGCCCAAGAGAGCATGGCCTCTTTTGAGCACCTTTGGAAGCCAAACTCTAATAGGAGACCTGACCTCTCCTCTCCACCTCCTCCAAGAAGGTCCCAGCTGGGCGCAGTGGTGCACGCCTGTAATCCTAGCAGCTCCAGAGGCTGAGACAGGAGGCTCGAGAGTTCAAAAGCCAGCCTCAGCAACTTAGTGAGGCTCTGAGCAGCTCAGTGAGACCCTGTCTCTAAATAAAATATAAAACGGGCTAAGGATGTGGCTTGGTGGTTAAATGCCCCTGGATTCAATCTCTGGTGCCCCCCCCAAAAAAAGAAGGCTCCAAAAGGGTGGAGTCTGCCCCTCTCTGCTTGGGTAGGGGTGGGGGGACACAGAGAGCCCCTCTCTTTGTCAATGCAGAAAGCAAAGCAGTTTCCAGTGTCAGCTCTTCAGAGAAACCCAGCCAGCCTCGCCTTCACAGTTAACAGCCTGTGAGCACGTGGCACGCACTTCTTGGGTGCCCAGCAGTGCCAGGGGGCTGAGGGGCGGCAACGGAGAGGGCTGTCACCTCACTGTTCTTGGGAAGTCTAGCTGGAACACAAGACCTGTCCGCTTGGAACAGGGACCCRGTGAGGGCATGAAAGGGACTGAAAATTTGGAGGGACTAAAGGATTCGGGTTCCGCCAAGGGATCCCAGCCAGCACCTGAAGCTCACTAGCAGAATGCTGTGAGCCTGGGGAAGCGCCATGACAGTAGAATGGCCTGAAACGCCAAGCTCCCGGCACACAGGCGCCCAGCAAATAACATCGGAAGCCTGCGCAGGCAGACCTCTGGGCCGGGCGCTGTTCCATCAACTTATTTAATTCTCAGTTTGCAGGGAACCACATCAGGGGCCTGGGAGCTCAGCCAAGGTCACGGGGCTAGAAAGTGGCAGAGTCAGGACACAGACCCAGCAGTTATTGGGGTTGTAAGGACCTRTGTGGGCTTGGCTTGAACTGTGACAGCTGTGGGGGTCCAGGACAGGGAGGAAGCACAGAGTGGCTGGAAGGAGCTGGAGGGTCGCTCAGAGGAGTAGAGCCTGAGCCAGGTCGGAAGKAGGGGAGGGTGTCCCTGTGGGGACAGCACACAAGCAAAGGTTCAGCAGCAGAAATGTCCTGTGAGGGCAAATACCATCTTCTCCAGAGAGATCGGGGCCTTCTCCAAGCCCCCAGCTCTAGCCCSGAGGAAGGTCTCCTGACTCTTTCTGGAAAACGTAAGATGCCCCACAGGCCCCGAAGCTGTTACACCTTGAACTAAGATCTCGGGTCTCAGGTCCAGAACCTTTTTTAAAAATATTTGTTCTGGGAGAACCCAAGACCTGCACATGCTAAGCCTGGGCTCCACCACTAAGCTCCACCCCCAGCCTTCCAGAATCTTCTGTGCTGCCCCCCACCGCCCTGCTCCTGTGGAAAGACTGTAGGGAGGCTCAGGAACTCAGGGATGTGGGGTCACAATAGTTGTTTGCCCTTTGAATCTGCTACTTCATGGAACCATGTGACTGGGCAAGTGAGAACTCTTCTCTGTGACTCTGACTCCTCAACTATAGAATGAGACTCACCAGCACCTCCCAGGAGAGCACACCAGGCCCCCAGCCAGCCCAGAGCTCACTGTGGCCCTCACCATGAGAGCTGCAAGCCACCCATCCCCAGAACAACCCCAGGCCCCAGGCGCCTCACCTCATAGATGTTGAACTGGCTCTGCCCGCGGGCCAGCTCGCGGTAGCTGGTGGTGAATTCCCCAATGAAGTCGTGGCTGCAAGGCAAGATGGCTGCTGAGACGGAGGCCCAGGCCGCAGGCAGCCTCCGCCCATCCCCAGCCTCTCAGGCATCCCTCCCCTGGCTCCCGACTCCCCTGGGCCTCCACTCCAGGGGCACATGCCACTAGGGAAGCTAGGTGCCTGGGGAGAGAGAGCCCAGTGTCACTCATGGAGCAAGAAAACCCAAGGGTCACCTAGCAAAGAACAGGATCCCCGAGGAATGAGACCCACTTCTACTTGGATTCTTGGTTGAATAAGCCAACAATAAAAGATATTTTGGCRGACAATTGTGGGACATTTGAATATGAAATGAATATTAGATGGCATTCAAAAATTATTGTTCAATGTGTCAAGTGTGACAATGGCATTTGAAGTTATGTGGGAAAATGTCCTTACTTTCTTAGACATTCCCAATGAAATATTTAAAGGCAAAATGTCATGATACGATTTACTTTAAACTACATTAAAGCAGATATGGTGAAATTTAACCATTGTCAAATTCAAATGATGGGCTTAAAGGTATTCATTAAAGTTTTCTCTCTGTTCTTCTGGGTAGTTGTAGTTGGACACAATACCTTTATTTATTTATTTTTATGTGGTGTTGAGGATCAAACCCAGGGCCCTGCACGTGCTAGGCGAGCGCTCTACCACTGAGCCACAACCCCAGCCCCTTTTCAATAACATTTTTATGCTTTTTTTTTTTTTTTTTTTTTGAGGCAGGGTCTCCTCTGTTGCCCAGGTCCCTGAACTGCTGGGCTCTAGCGATCCTCCTGCCTCAGCCTCCTGAACAGCTGGGATTAGAGGTGTGCACAACAAAACTCAGCTTTTCTGTTTTTTTCCTTCCCTTTTGATGCTGGGGGTGAAGCCCAGGGCTTCAAACATGCAGGCAAGTGCTCTACTACTGAGCTCCAGCTCCCACCATCTCTTCACAGTTTTTAAGTAGACAATTAAAGCCATATCCCGCCAGGCAGCTGGGAGGACTTTCTGCAGCGTCCACATCTTCTAGATGTGGATAGCAGAATGTAACAAAAGCTTGTACAAAACAGACCCCCACCTTGCTCCCAGGGGCTCCCTCTCATCTCATCTCACTGCCCCTGCTGGAAGGCACTGGTGAATGTGCCATGTGGGGGTGTCCTGGGGCCTTGCCCTGCCTGCAGCCCACATGGCAGTTGTGTGTGTGTGTGTGTGTGTGTGTGTGTGTGTGTGTGTTTGTTCTGTTTAGACATCCACGGCAGCCGAGTGTACTCTGACACATTACACATACGTGGAGTCTCACTGACTACGTGTGTACGGTCCTCAGCCTGCTGACCCAGTGCCACCTGGTGGCTGCTCCCCAGTTGACATGGAATATTCCAGGTTAAGGAGAAGCATGGGGAATGCCAGAGTAAGATGAGGCAAGTCACGGTCCCGGCGGCATGGAGCTGGTCCATCTGGCAGTGAGGCCGATGGAGGGGGACAGGAGGTGGGAGGAGAGGAGGGGGCGGCACTGCAGTGGCTCATGGCAAGAGCCCGGGTCTCAGCTGCAGCTGCATCTGCCTAGCTCTTAAACAAGACGAGGCACTGCCCTACGACCACGTCACACACCCCGAAGGCCCCGACTGTGATCATGGGGCTGCGAAGGCCCAGAGTCACCCCTGGGTATCACTACAGCACGGACAGGTCAAAAAGTCAGGATGACATGTTTGGCTGTGACTCAAGGGACAAGCAGGAGCCAGTGAGGATTCTGGACTGGAGCTTCCCAGGGCCATTCCTAAACTGTCTGCTGATTCCTAGCCACACTGGCTCCTGGGCACTGCCATCTAAGAGGGGAAGGCGCTGGCTGCCTCCAGACCCTGCGGGACCCGCCCTCCCACCCGCCAGCCACAGCCTCGTGGCTCTGAGTCCCGTGGTGAGCATCCAGCTAGCTGCAGCCTGCCCCTCTGCCCTCCTCTCCACAAACAGCTCCTCACTGCTACTGCACCTAGAACATGCAGACTTCACAAAATCCAAAATTCTCTCCACCATGGGAATTGCAGGCACAGGCTGGCCACTGGCAGCTATTTTGGGGAAAAGGGGCCTCTCTGCCCCGGCACCATCTCTTACAGGACAGAGGTCCTCTAGTGCCTCAACAGAACACAGATGAGGACAAGTCAGCAATCCTCCTACAGGTGACCTTCCCTCACCACCAGAGCTGCCTTGGGTGGGGCCTTGGGCACAGTCTCTCCATATGAGGGCAGGGCCAGTCCTCCTTCCCCATAGCCTCCCCTCCCCACTCCCCTCCCCTCCTCCTGTCCTCCAGCGCACTTACCTGCCGTCTCGATCCCAGTCATACACCTCCACCTTGATGGTCCTGAAAGACAAGAGAGCCCTTGTGGGGACGGGCCTGCGCCTGCACCCATGTGGCCCTCCTCATCCCCAGGACCAGCAAGTAAGAGGGCTCCCTGCAGGCTCCAGGGTGCTGGGTGGGGGTAGCAGCCCCAGAGACAAGGAATGATCTTGAGACCTTTCTGCAAAGATCTGGGGGACAGAGCCAGGTAGGGGACTTCCAGGATTTCCAGGAGGATGTGGACAAAACAGCYAAGGCTTCTGTTCACCCCACTTTCTTCCAGGCCCCCCAGATGGGAGCTGCAATATGAGGCCACACTGTGTGTTTTGCTGGGGGTGGAGCTGTGACAGCGGCCTGAGCTCAGGCCTCTGGGGAGGGGTAGTGAGGCTCTTGGTGGGACCCTGGGCTGGAGGGGCTGCGTGGTGAGGAGCCAGCCCCGGGATGGCCCAGGGGCCTGACTTGGAGGAGGCCTGCTGCGCTTTCCATCCCCAGACTGGCTGCTGGGTGAGGGTGTGATTATCTTCACATTTTAGCCTGGCTGCTTTAATTAGTTTGTTTTGACTCCTATGCATGGGGCTGGGCTTGGAGAGCCCATTTTATTTTTAGCCACGTTCCCATGGCAACAGGCTAGGACCACAGGCAGTTGGAGGGAGGTGGAGGGTTGCCGGTTAACCCTTGGTGCTGGCTGCTCTGTCCTCAGGATGCCCAGGGACCTGCGAGCAACCAGGGTCCCCAAACAGGGTCTGGCTTGAGAGACAGGAGCCACCATTATCCCAAAACAGGCAGGAGAGGAGCAGGRAGCCAGGCGCCTTCAGCCCTCAGCTTCAAATGGGGCGCCAGGAAGCTTTAATTAGCTCCTCTGTTAACATCCCAAGGCCCATCCTTGGGTCTGCCAGGAGCCGGCCTTGGGATCCGTGGTGTCCAGAAGGAGGCGCTATGTCCCTTCGGATGAGCCTCCTGGGTGGGGAGGGGGCAGGATACAGAAACTGTTCCAGGGTGAGCCAAGGCCTGTAAAGCAGGACCCTAGTAAAACGGGGCAGACACAGAGGTCACCGTTTAAAGAAATCCGTTAAATTCATGTTTAAAGAAAAGAAACCCTCTCTCTGGGGTGGATTACTGAGAAAAGGAAAAATAAAACAAAAGCTAAGCCCTGAGGGTGGGCTGGGAAGGCGGGAAGAGTGGGAGGAGGCTGGGATGTGCTTTCAGAGGACCTTAGGCTAGGCTGCTGGACCCCGGCTGTGGGATCTGGAGATGTCACTTTACCTCCCTGAGCCACAAAACCTCATGTGCACTAGGGACAAGGAAGGTCCTGCAGGGGAGCCGAGGCRAGTCGGTGGAACCCTCCTGTCCCCGGGAGGCCCTCCATGAAAGCACCTCTCTTCTCTCCCTTGGATCACGTGACCTCGCCTGGCTAGGTTTTCCACATGAAATTTACTTAAATCAGGGGACACTTGAGCCTGGGTACCTGGGCTCTGCCACTTTCAGTTCCTGGAACTGCCTTCAGTGGCACCTGAGTCTGCTGAGCCCAGCCACTCGGCAGCACCCCCAGGGACATGCGGCATCTCACAGCCGCTGCACTGGCAGGGCCCGGGAACAGGTTCTGAAGGCCTCCCTAGTGACGGAGCTGTCATGCTCTGGAGCAATGTCCTCTGCCTCCTCATTTCAGATGGCATAGCTGAACCCCCGAGAGCCCCAGAGTCACATAGCCGGTGACAGCTGGAACCAGGACAAAACCAGTCTGGGGCTCTGGCCACTGCCCCGTGAGGCTAACACGGGTCTCCCTGCCCTTGCCTCGGCGCCCTAAGTCCTCCCCTCCAGGACCCCAGCAAGGGACTAGGTCAGTGACAGCAACATGCCCAGAGGCTAAAGGATGTTGTCCCCAATCATGGCGGCAAGCTCTGGATATCGACAAAAACTACTGGGGAGGTTGTTTGGAATCCCAGGACCAGAGGAGAGGGCCTGGTTTAATCTATCTGTAGAGAACCAAGGCCGAGTCGCTCCTGCGTTTCKCAGGTTTTCTGTCTGGGTTTTGCCTTGCGCGGGATTGACTCTGGGCAGGTGCCCTGGCCCTGAGCTCCGCCCCAGCCCACGCAGTCCTGAAGAGTTCCCCGAGTGGTTCTGAGGTGCAGCCGGAGCCACTGACCTTCTCCAGGGTACAGCTCCAGTTTTCAAACTTGGATGCGGTTTGGGTCCCTGAGGGACTTCAGAAATACTGATGTGGATGCTTCACCCCAGAGAGTCACTTATCTCAGGGTGCAGCTTGGGCAAGGGGGTTGTTAAAAGTTCACCAGAGCAGGGGGCCGGGACATAGCTCAGTTGGTAGAGTGTTTGTCTCACATGCACAGGGCCCTGGGTTCAATCCCCAGCACCACAAAAAGAAAAAAAAAAAAGTTCATAAAGGATCTGAACTTGCAGTCAAGGCTGAGACTAGAGCGAGAGATTCCTGAGCAAAAGCCCAGCGCAGGTCATGCAGACCCCAGGGGAGATGCAGCCTGAGGGCCTGAGGTCTGGGGGCTCTGAGGCTGAGACCCCCTGGGGGGAAGGGGGTGAGAGAAACGGTGCCCAGAGACAGGGAAGGCCACAGGAAAAGCCAGACATGACTTTGGTGACTCTTAGTTCTCCCTGTCCAGCCGTGGCTGAGCTGTCCCAGGTCACTGCAGGTGCCACTGGTGGCCGACAGGCATTGGCTCCCAGCCCCTCAGTCCAGGCCTGTGATCTCTGAGAATAGCACCCATGAGATGTCCTCCTGCATGGGGGACAACACAATCGGCCTCTGCAGACCACATAATGAACATCCGTTTGGCATAAAGAGGCTCTGAACAGGGGGGCAGGGAGGTGGTCAGGGAGGAGCTGTCCGGGGGCCAGCACCTGGGCAGCTCTAGCTCCTTTGGGGACCAGGGTGTGGCCCCGAGCAGCTAGCTAATCCCTGGGACACTCCATCTGGTCCTCTGTAAGAACTGATGTCTCACCATCACCGAGGAAAGAAATGACAGAAGTCACACGGTCAGCCTTTGACACATTCCTCTGTTCCTGCTGGACACACTCAGTGTCTCCAAACAACTCCTGTCGGCCATCAGAACACCCCCCCCCCCCCAGCCAGAGACTGCTGTTTGATTTGCTTCTGGCAGCAGCCCCTGTTCTAGAATGGTAGCCTGCATACACAAGGTGCTCCATAAACACTGACTGGCTGGCCTGAGGTTTCCACTCTGCAGTGGGCCACGCAGGTGACAATACCCGTGTTCTACAAAGCACAGAAGGAGGTCCAGAGGACGCAGCTTCCCATAAGCTGCCAGTGTCAAGGCCAGGAGCTGTGTCCCGGGCCTCTGCAGTCCCAGCTCTGGGATGACAGAGCCAGGTGTCAGCCTCGCAGACCAGCAGGGACGAGGGAAGCTGGCAGAGACGCCAGGGCCCCCCTGCACGTCAGTCAGCTCTAACCAGAGTTGCCTCGGAGCCCAGAGCTGAAGGTCTTCTTCCTAATGAGCTTCTCCCAGGCAAGGAAAAGGACATTTCCTTGCTGCTTCCAAGTCCCTGGGGCTGACAGGCCCTGAGGGGTTTGCTCWGAACTGAGTCAGTCCATGCTCTGAGAGGCTTCAGCGAGGACAAGCGCCCGGCCTCCCCACCGTCCCCCCCCCCCGCTGGGGTGGGGGGCAGGCAGAGACAGTGGCATTGGGAGCTTCCAGCCCCCTAACCCTTCAGCCTCTGCACAGGCAGATGGGGAATGCTGAGACACCTATCATTGAGATCAACTGTGAAGTGCCTGGTACTGTGCCTGGTCCTTCCTGGGTGCTCAGCATGTGGCGGGAGGCCAAGGAGAAGCAACGGGTGCATCCAGGGAGCTGGAAGGCAGTGTTAGTGCCCCCACCACACCCGTCCACTGAGGACCCCTCTCCCTACTTCAGAAGGTACCCTCAGCACACTCTCTGAAAGTCCACTCATTCAACGTTACGGGATGACAGCAACCTGCTCAGACAAATCTGGGTTAACAGGGACAAATTCTCAAGTCACAGAATGTTTAAGAAGGGAGGAGGCCAAATTCTGGGAAGATAGGGGAAGTGCTTCTTGTCATCACTCCATTTTACCCCACCAGAGAGGTGGGTGGGCTCTGAGCCTGACACATTTACTCTGACTCCAGCTCTGTTCAGCTGGGTTGTCAGGTTTGGCCTTGCATGGAACGGCAAGGTGGGGGACCCCAAATCAGCCCAGAGGTGCCCCCTGCAGAAAGGACAGGTACCTCTCGCTCTGGCATGTTACATAACCTCTCGTCCTCCATCTCCCCATCTGTAAAATGGGCACATCGCGAGTGAACACCTACCTCCTAAGATCACTCACACAGTAATGCATTTAGAACAATTAGGCCACAGCCTGGCCCAGGTCCTCAACATCCAGCAACTTCAGCCATGTAAACTGTCTCCTCCCCCATCATTTCCACGAAACTGCCCTTTCTGGTCCTCACCCTCCTGGACGTCTTTCTCACAAGGGTCCTTTGCCTTCTTCCTGCTGCCCATCCTGGGAACTCCCAGACCTCTGTCCCCTGCCCTCGTAGCTGTGCCTGGCTCACAGAGGCCCACGGTCCTCAGGATGGAAGCCAGGCTCCCCGTTCTTTCCCCCTCCACAGCAGCCTCTCATTTCCGAACAGCAAGCCCAGTCTTCATAACCTAGGAACGCTGATGCTTCATGAAAGGGTGGCACACAGGCCGTGAAAGAAAACCCCGTAATGCGTCCTGTGACAGTAAGGATCTGGCTCCGGTCACACTTCCCCTTTGTGTCTGGGACATTGCCAAGCTCTGTCTGTATCTCACTTGTTGCCGTTCCCTTCTCCTCTCCTCTGAATCACTTGGAGTTCGAGTCTAAAGGACCCTTAATGCTTTCAGGACTAAGACTACCTCCAAGCGGCTCCCTCACCTCCAGCCCCAAAGGTGACCGGTCCTTGACCTCTGAGCAAGGTGCTCCTAGAGCCTCTTCCAGAAGCACCCAGTCACGGCCCTGTCACACCACATCTTGGCCGTCTGGCAGCAAGGCACAGGAATTAAGAGCACAGATTCTAAGCCATGCGCAGTGGCACAGGCCTGTAATCCCAGCTGCTCAGGAGGCTGAGGCGGARGATGGCGAGGTCAAAGCCAGCCTCAGCAACTTGGCGAGACCCTGTCTCTAAATAAAATACAAAAAGGGGCTGGAGGTGTGGCTTAGTGGCTGAGCATCATTGGATTCAATCCTTGGTACAAAAAAAACCCAACCCACCACAGATCCAGAGCCAGCCTGGCCAGTCCTGCTCTCCCGTTGGCTGGCAGCGAGATGCTCGGCAAGCGACTTAACCTCTCTGGCCTCAGTCTCCTGGCCTGTGCAGACAGCACTGGCAGCTTCTCCCAGGGAGCTGCTCCCTGATGGGAAGATTAACTTAGTTCACAGGCATAAGCGCTTGGAACAGGGCCTGCCCAAGGTTAAGTGCCACTGGAGCCTTTGCTATGACTGTGGCCGCTGTCTCCCCACCGGCCTGCCAACCTAAGAGGGAGCGTGGGCCCGAGAGCCCAGCGTGCCCCCAAAGCACCCTGCCAGCTCCTGGATCCTGGCTGGCTTGGGAAGCTGCTGCTGGGTTACACTGAGCGAGTTCTGTGAGGCTCCCGGGGGGCCTCAGCAGGGGAGGGACAGTGGCCTCATTTTCCTGCACCAGGCCCTGTCTCCTGCCTGGGGGGCCTCGCGACGCAGCCTCCTGAGTGGCTCCGGGTGTGTGGGCTACCCTAGGCTGGGGCTCACAGGGCTGGCGAGACACGCCTGGCCCTGGACATTAACACCGCTGTCAGTCACGTCACAGTCAATCTGTGCCCAGCCACGGAGAAGGGCATGAGCTCGGCCATCCTGTGGGGGGTGAGGCTGGGCTAGGGTTGGGAGGGGAGGTGGGCACCTGCCTGCCTTCCTCCCCAGGGTCCCCTGTCACTCACTCAGAAGCCTCAGGACCCAGCCAGCAGGCAACAGGCCTTGTTTGGCTGGAATGCCTGCTCACCAGAGCCCCCAGTGGTTAGACCAGAAGCTTCCAGAAGAGGGGAACACAGCTGAGTGTCCCCCAAAATTACACAGAGGCCGGTACTGGGCATCTAGTAGGTGCTCAGGATCTCCTGGGGAACAGATTGTGGCTCTTCTATTCCGGCCAAGAGACAGAGAAGGAGCCACCTCAGCCTTGGCTGGGCAGCCTGAGGGTCTCCTGAGATGGAAACGGGGGTGTTGGAGGCCATYGACCCACTCACCAACCCCACCACACACACTTGGTGGCCATGGTGAGCAGGGTCTTGGGGCACACCAAAGTRTCTGTTCTGATGCACCATGTCCCCGTGGGGTGAGCTACAGAAGGTCCAGATCCTCAAGGCTGCTGGCCAGCCCTGCTGATGATCCCTGGCCAGCTTGCTCAGCTGAGCTGCAGCCATTGCCAGGGAACTGGAACGTTCTCACAACTTAACCCAGGCCTACACCATCTCTGMGTGTGCACAGTGTTGGGGACTGAACCCAGGGCCTTGCATGGGCCAGGAAGCTCTCTACAGCTCAATACACCCCCAACCCTCTTTATTTTAAGACAGGGTCTCACTAAATTACCCAGGCTGGCCTCAAACTTGGGGTCCTCCTGCCTCAGCCTCCTGAATAGCTGGGATTATAGGTGTGCATCACCGTGYCCGGGGAACGTATGCATCTTATAGCTTCCGTCTGACATGACCCCCACGCTCTCCAGCACTTACTGCAACGGCTAATGATATGTTTGTGTGATTATTGGATTAATGTCTGCCTCCCCCACTAGCAGTTAAACCCACGAGGCTGGGAGAGGGGTGGAGATCGTGCTTTGCCCCCGCTGATTTCCCAGCGTCTGGTAGGGCCACAATACATTTGTGAACAAAATGTTGGATTTGGTATTTCACGCACACAGGTYCTCCTTGAATAGGCTGTGCTACATGAACTTCAAAGCGGCCCAGGGAGTAGGCAGATGCTCTCACGCCTACTTTGCAGAAAAGAAACTGAGGGTCAAAGATCACCCAGGTTGACAGAGCTTTTTACTCACAGAGTCAAGGCTGGAAAGGAGGTATCTGGTCTCTACCCTGGAGAATCACTCTGAGTGATTAAGATGAGATGACAGCTGACATGTCACGTGAGTAGGCCACATGGAACCAAAATACCTAGCAAGCTCTCGTCCCTGCTCCCTCGCCCCTCATTTATGGCAACTTGGCTGGCAGGGAGTGTCCCTGGATTCTGACTCCAGAGTCCCCSGGCCAGAGGCTAAGGCTGCTGGGGAGCAGCTGCCCCTGTCTTCGTCTACCTCCTCACCTCCATCCTGCCACCATACGCCTTCCCTGGGGAACAATGAAGACGAGCCACCGAGTTCCAGACCAGGGTACCAGGGGCGCCCATCTGGTGCCACCCGTCTAGGTCTCCCTGGAGCCCCAGGCACTCCACTCCCAACCTCCCACACTTTGGAGCTTCCCACCAATAAGGAGGCCAGACAAGGAGGAAGTGGGGGGCAGGAGCTGCGAGACCATGGGGAGGCCGACCTGCTGGGAACTGGCGGGAGGGGGAGGCCACCGAGCCCCACCCTGTGCGGACACCGAGGTGCAGCCCAGAGGCCCGTGCATATTGAGGAGGCCAATGGCGCAGCGGCGGGTAGACCCCCCTCGGGTGGGAGAAGGCCCGGGGGTGGAGGAACAGTGAAGGGCTGCCTTCCCATCTCACCGGTCATAGTCCCCGTTGCAGAGGGCCCTCACAGGGATGGAGAAGGTCTGCCACACGGGGTTGAGCGTGTTCTTCATGACCTCCGTCTTGTGGCAAATGGTGAACCTGGTGAAGGAGGGAGAGAAAGGTCGTCAGGCCTGAAGCCAAGAGCGGCAGGATCCAGGTTGGCAGGGGGTCAGCCGGCCATGTCTGCCGCTGCCATAGGTGGAAACTGGGGCTCCTGGGTGAGCTGCCCATCACTGGCAGCGGCCTGGCTGGAACTTGACGGCCACTGGCTGAGATGCTGCAGACCTGCACCAGGTGGGGACCCAGCCTGGAAGGAGACAAGTCTTGTGGGGGCAGGAGACCTGGTCCTAACAGCCCCTGCTTGGGGCCAACTCACAGTGTGACCTTGACCTCCACTTCCTCGCCTGACTCCAAACCCTGCGAAGCTGGCCTCTATCTTCATYCTCTGAGACCCATGAAAGGATCAGTCTCAGTGGACCTTCGTGGYCTGTGAGTCCCTAAAATTGTATCTAGAATTGGGTGTCGGGTCGCAGGTGTCTGCTCTTCTCCCRCCCTGGGACGTTCCCCCCAAACTTCCATCTTCCCTGCTCCCCGCCACACTATCTCAGGTCAGARGTCATCTCCATGAAGTCCCCCCTGATGACCATGTCCAAAATGTACAGCCTCCTGGCCTTTGATTCCGACATCCCCTGGCTCCTTCCATATTTCTTTTCCTATGGGTCACCATTTAACATTGTGATATTGCCTGTTTTCCCCTTATTTATTCTGTGTACCATCTGACACTAAGATTAACCTCCATCAGAATAAAGAGTTTTTCTCTTGATCCACTGATGTAACCCTAGTGCCTAGAACAAGGCCTGGCACTTAGTAGGTATTCAAGAACTTTTTTTTTTTTTTTTAAGGAGCCAGAGGAACTTTCCAAAGCTTCCACCTGCATTTCAATTCAAGGAAATCAAAGCCCCTGGGATGATCTGGATCTTCTCTAAGACCCCTTCTGCTTTTCCAGACCAAATTCAAAAAACCTGCTTTGCAAACTGAAAGTTCAGAGCTGCTCACCCACACGGCCCCCTCCCATGCCACGCCTGGCTGACCTGCCACCTGGATGGGCGGCCAGGAGCGACCTCCCAGGCATCCGCCCCAGCACCATCCCAGCTTAGAAAGGTCACCTGGGTAAGTGCCGGGCTCCGCCCAAGCCCACACAGCCTGTGCCATTTCTTCTGTGGCAATTTTCAAGTCAAAATGTCATCCCTGTCACTGTGGCTCTGACTTTCTCTTCAGCTCGTCCTCGCCCACCCACTGGAGTGTGGAGATGCACGTGGGAGACCTCCCTGCACACCCAGAGCTGGGGGCGAGGACCGGGATGGGGATGGGCAGCCAGGGCGGGCGGGCAGGGGGGGGGCGGTGGAGGGAGGGAGGGGGGGCGGTGGAGGGAGGGAGGGAGGGGCAATCATGCCATACAGAAGCCACCCTGGCTCCCCTGACTGTCACAGGTGCCTTCTGTGGACCCTCCCCAGCACCCCCATCTCTACCCCCGAGGAGTTCTCTCCTTTCCCTTAATAGCCAAACTACAGGAGCACCCCTTCTATGAGCCCAGTCTCTTCCCCACTCATCCCTTCCTGGGCCTGTGCAGTGTGGTGTCGCCTCTGACTCTTGCCTGAAGCTGTTTTCTTTCTGCCCTCCCTGGTCCCTCATCACCAAGCCACACCTTCCCCACCCCCAGCAGGCAGGCCCTCCCACCCCTTGACTCACTTTCATTTGGACACACACTGGGAGCATCAGTGGGTGAGTGCTACCCAACAGAGTCAGACAGATGGGAGTCCCAGTCCCAGACCCACCATCCGCCAGCTGTGCCTCCCTGAGCATATGTCTTTCCCTCTCTGACTTTCCCCTCTCATTGCAAAGTGGGAATAAGAACATTCACTAACACTTCCAGGCCTTTTTCATTTCTTTGTGTGTGTGTGTGTGTGTGTGTGCTCTACCGTGGAGCTACTTCTTAATTTTTATTTTGAGGGTTTTGCTAAGTGGCTGAGGCTGGCTTCAAACGTGTGATCCTCCTGCTTCAGCCTCCTGAGTTTCTGGGATTACAGACTGTGCACCACCACCACACCAGGATTACCAGGCCTTCTTCTTTTCTTTTTTAAATATTTTTTTTAGATGTTTATGGACCTTTATTTTATTTATTTATTTATATGAGGTGCTGAGAATTGAACCCAGTGCCTCACACATGCCAGGCAAGCGCTCTACCACTGAGCCCCAGCCCCACCCCAGCCCCTACCAGGCCTTTTCCTAATGAGAATATACTAACTCATCCCATCCTCAAAGCACCCCTGAGAGGGAGGTGCCAGTTGTCCCCAGTGTACATACAACAGATTATGTAGGTACCTTGTACTGTCCAACATGGCAGCCATGGGACTAAGTTAAATTAATTAAAATGAAATTAAGTGAAAAATGTATCAGTTGCACTAACCCCAATTTAGGTGCTCAGTAACTATATGTGGGTGGTGGTGACCATGCTAGACAACATTCCAGAAGGTTCTATTGGGTTAGTCTTGCCTACATCTACTCAGCTGGTAACTAACTGGTTGTGCCAGGCTGGGGCCACTGGCCCTTCCCTGACACCTGGAAGGCCCACAGAGGAGTTACTAACATGGAACCGGATGAGGTGGGGGGATCTCGGGGAGGATGGCKGCCAGGTTGGCAGGACACTTCCCTCCCCTGATTTCCCTGGCTGACCTTCCTCCTGCCCTCCTCATGACGGGTATCTCCCCAAACTTCACACTCCTGTGTCCTCCCACCCCGAGACCACCCCATCCTTCCCTGCTCAGCCTCTGCCGGGCCCTGCATTCTGGCCCAGCCCTCAGCAGCCCCTGGATGGTTTCTGCAGGTCTGGGGGGGGGGTCCCCTGGGGGGGGGGCAGCGACCCTCCTGGAGAGCTCCAGCCCCGACCTCCAGTGAAACTTGCCCCGAAATAAACTCTCGTGGTCTCCCCCACGGGACCAGCTTCTTTGCCATTTCCCACATTTGGGGACCTGGGGCTCCACGGCCAGAGAAGGGGCTCCACCTTGGGTCCCCACTGGTCTCCACGGAGTCCTCTGGCCCCCTGCTCCCGGCCCGCTCCCGCWGCAGCCCGCACCCTGCACCCGCTCCGCCCCGCCCCGAGCCTCGCCACCTCCCACCTGCTGTGGTGTCAGTCACGAGCCTCTCCTCTCCCCGCCCCTCCCCACAGCCCACGCACCGCTGCAGAACGTCACCCAGACACCTCGGCGGCCCCTCCCGCTCCAYATCCCCCGCCAGGTCCTGGTCAGGAGCAGCTGGACAGGCCCGGGCCACCTGGGCTCTGCCTCTCCCCAGGGGACTGTGTGTGTGGACACCCAGGCCTCCTCCTCCCCCACCGGGAGCCAAGTCCAAGTCAACAAGAATTATTTAAAGAAACCCTGCTGGGAGTCCTTCCCGAGACAAAGAATCCTTTTGTCATGCAAATGATCACACCTAATCTCCCCGTTTTGTAGCTCAGGTTTAAAAACCAGTTTTCCCAGCAACTGAAACACACCTCCTCCCTGAGACTCCTGCCCCCCAACACACACACACACACACACACACACACTCACACACTCACATACACACAAGCACTCAGACTCTCTCCCTCTCACGCACACACTCTGCGCATTTCAGAATCAGGGGCTGAGGAGGCGGCTCTGCCCTCGGGCACTGTCGTTGYTCCCTGCCCCCCACCCCGTGCACCCACATTGTTCCTCTCCTTCAAAGGCTGTTCCCAGCCCCTTCTTCAGCAGTGTCTCTAATTAACCTCCTGGGCCCCTTCCTTCCTCCTCTGCAGAAGCCCAGCAGTAAGTGTCCCCCGGTCCCCAGAACTGCACTGCTTAAAGAGACCATGGGAGCCACCTAATCCCATGTTTCATTTATGGATGAGAAATCAGGCCCAGAGAGGGGACACAGCTTGCCCCAGGGTCACTCAGCAGGTGTGGGTGTGGACCTAGGTCCCCAGACTTGAAACCCAGAGTCCTTCCATGTATACTGCTGACCAACAGCTGCCCAAGCGTTAAATTTCCACTGCACCGAGGAGGGCTTCTACCTGTGGGAGAGGAGGAGGGAGCCCAGAGGCCCTGAATTCTGAGTGAAGCCCTTGGTAACTCTGGGGCCAGGTGGAGGGAGGGGGCCAGCTTTGCCATGCTGAGGGTTCAGAGGGAGGGGACCTGATGGGGGGCATTCAGAGGGCTGTGGATAGAGGGGACCGGGCTTGGAGATGGGGACTGCTTTGTGTAGAACAAGGGAGAGACTATCAGAGGGGTGTCATGGAGGACTGGGGCCCCTTATTCTGGCCTCAACCCTGTTTTTGCCGGCCCCCAACACACTCAGCACCTGTCATTGTGGGGACCTTCAGCTTAGAGGCCATCCTCACTCCTCACTGACCCCATCTATGTGTCAGGAACTCCTCTGCAGAGCCAGGCCCTGGGAGGGCCATGGAAGGAGCAGGACCCCAGCCCCTGACAGCCAGTTGCCACTTGTCCATCCCTGACCCGAGGCTGAGCCCAGTGATGACAGCGCAGTGCCTAGTGCTGCCCGAGACTCACGTGCCGTCCTCGTTGCTCCGGTAGAACACCAGGAAGGGGTCGGACTTCCCAAAGAAGTCCTTCTTGTCCAGCTTGTTGGCACAGAACTGCATGGTGGCCACATCCTGCGGAGGGAGGGCACAGAGTGCGTGAGGCAGAGGAGTGGGAAAAACAGCTCAAGACCCCGACAAGCAAGAGGATCCAGCCCCAGCCCCAACCGGGCTCCACRCCAGGCCCAGCTGGCACCCCCGGGGCTCACTCCACCTCGGCAGCAGCAGGCCTGGAGGCCCAGGTGCAGAAGCAGGAGGATTCTGCATCGGCCCAGGTTTGAGTCTTAGCTCTGTCACCTTCTAGCTGTGTGACCTCGGGCAAGGTAGGTAACAGAGCCTCAGTGCAGAGCTTCAGTCTCCCCCTGCAACCTGGGGACCCCAGGAGAKTGGGGACAAGGTGAGATGGGGTGTGAGGTGCTCGGCAGGGCACAGGTGTAGCAGTCCCCCATGAGCGCTAGCCCCTGGGACTCCATTCCCATTGCCCTGAGCAGCTCAGAAAGGGGAACTGACCAACCCAAGGTGCCCCTGAGTGTGATCTGCGGGCCCAGAAGCCTCCACTCTGGTCTGTTTCTGATGCTTCTTTCCTGCCTGCATCTGCCTGGCTCCAGCGGAAGCTGCAGTGTGAGCATCCTATCTATCCACACTCCCTAAGTCTCCAGAGGCCCACACAGTGCTCTAAAGTGGATGTGGCAGGGACAGTGGCCTGTGTAACAGCTAAGACACCAAAGGCTCAGAGCAGGGAACTTCCCCAAGCTCGCCAAGCAGAGCCAGTTCACCTGAACCCACCGTGCTACAGAGGGGCAACAGAGGGGCTCCTGAGCACCTCAGGGACCTCYCTGAACGTGGCCCCCGCTCACTTTGCCTGAGCAGCCCCCCTCCTTAGCAGTTCTGCATCCCAAGGGTCATGCCAGCTATCAGACTCTGTCCTGCAGACCCTGGGCCTGCCCTGCTCGAGGCCAGCTCCTGGCACACCCCTTTCCTCTCCGCAGGGGGCATGTCTTGAGGTGAATGACCCACTGCCCAGAGAGGACCAAATGGTGGTCACAGAGATGAAGATGTAAACCGGGTGCAGTGGCACATGCCTGTAATCCCAGTGGCTCCAGAGGCGGAGACAGTTCAAAGCCAGCCTCAGCATTTAGTGAGGCTCTAAGCAACTCAGTGAGACTCTGCCTCTAGACAAAATGCAAGAAACAGCTGGGGGTGTGGCTCAGTGGTTAAGTGCCCCGAGTTCAATCCCTGGTACCAAAAAAAAAAAAAAAAAGAAAATGAAGATGTGCTATAACCTCCCTTGAGGTTGAAGGACACAGTCAAGAGGCTGAGCAGTGGGACTGGAAGTATAATGGTCAGGCCTACGATGGCTGCGGCCAGGCTATCTGCTTCAGCTCATTCCTCACTAGCTTTGGGACCTAAGGTAAATTAATCACCCTCTCTGTGCTCTGTGCTCCTGTCAAATAGGAGGAGTGGGCAGGGCCTACCTCACAGGCTCATGGGGATAAAATGAGTTAATTGTACAACGCTGAGCACTGCGGCTAGCACGCATTAAGGGCTGTGTGCGTGAGTGTTGTCGTCATCATCATTATTCTTAGAACACTTCTCCCCCCAGTGTGTGTGGCCGCTCCCTGCCCCCACCACATGCCTTCCCACAAGGACATCCATCCAGTGACAGCAAACTCAGCATCCCTCCACTGGCTCTCACTCAGGAACATCCTCTGTGACATTCCTTAACATATTTAGTCTTCAAAACAGTCCTCTGTTGGCTTTTTATGAATGAGGAAGCCGGGTCGAAGAAGTGAGGTAACCGGCTGGTAACTAACTGGGAGAAGGGAAATTCAAACCTGTGTAAACTGATTGCAAAGTTCTGTTTCTCGGCACACCACTCCCCCCACCCCAGGGCAGGAAGTGCCTCTGAATACCCCTGAGGATGGGCACCGAGATGCCGGGTTAAGGGCGGCTTGTCTGGTGCCTCCCAGAGTCACGGGCCACAGTAAGAGATCAAGTGACTTACTGAACACTTACTAGATGCCAGGTGGCACCTTCACACTTGACACAAGTCCCAGTCATTTCTCTAGCTTCTGCCTTCTCCAGAGGAGGAAACAGGTTAAACCATACACCCCAAGCCCACGGTGAGTAACCCAGGCYGTTCATCAGACTTGAGTTTTCACTGTTATCCATCCAGAACATTCTCTTTCTTTCTGTGGTGCTGGGGATTGAACCTAGGGCCCTGTGCGTGCGAAACAAGCACTCTACCAACTGAGCTATATCCCCAGTCCCCCATCCAGAACATTCTCTAGGCTTCTAAGGCATACAGCAGACACGCTCTGGAGAGTTCCACTCCATTCCGAGCTGGTGGACAGAGCATTTTCCTCCCTCCCTCCCTTTCTCCCTCCCTTCCATGCTGGGGATTGAACCCAGGGCCCTGTGCGTGCGAAACAAGCACTCTACCAACTGAGCTATATCCCCAGTCCCCCATCCAGAACATTCTCTAGGCTTCTAAGGCATACAGCAGACACGCTCTGGAGAGTTCCACTCCATTCCGAGCTGGTGGACAGAGCATTTTCCTCCCTCCCTCCCTTTCTCCCTCCCTTCCATGCTGGGGATTGAACCCAGGGTCTCCAGCATGTGAGGCGACCACTCTACCAGCCGAGCTCTGTCCCCAGCCCCRGAGGGAGCATTTTAATGCCTTCCTGTGGAGCCACATCCTGTAGCCTGGAAGGGAAGAAGGCCTGGGACCTGGTGGCTCCTCCCAGAACCCCTGATATAAACTGTGGGGACCAGTGTAAAGGGACATGTGGAGGCTTTGAGAAGAGTTCAGCGATTCCAAGGTGGTGACAGCAGAGATTAAGCCAAGCGCATGTCCCTGTGTGACCACACCAGGGGCCATGAAGTGGGCCTGGTCCTTCCCACAGAGGCAGCCTGCAGTGGCGCCAGACAGTCAAGGCAGAGGACCTGGAGGGGAGCAAGGAAGTCAGAGGCCGGAGGTCCAGTCCCAGCTCTACAACTTCAGCAAGTCCCTCAAGCCCCCTGAGCCTGTTTCCTCATCCGTGAAGTCACGGGCCGGGCAGGAAGACCACCCCAGTCCCTTTAAGCCTGGCAGATTAGACTCAGGGTCGATGCCACAGGAACACTGGAGTGGGCCAGCAGCTGGGGACACTCAGGAGCCAGTCCTGGGGGAGCACCGGCACTCAGGTGACAGTGTGGGAATCCAAGGTCCCTGCAGCCTCCCTGGATCACAGTTTGGTGGTTATGACAATGACTTTTCACATCTGGAATTCCCCCGAGGGATAGTCTCACCTGAATGAACACAGGTGAGCCCCACAGGACTGCCCKACCTACACAGGTGACCAAACCATCTGCACACCCTGGAAAGAGCCCCCACAGATGCCACAAAATCCAGACAAGCTAGAGGGGTTTTTGTTGTTGTTGTTTTGTTTTGCCTCAAAGCAGAACTCCTCAGGGCCCTGCAAGACCAGAAAGCTGGTAGAAATATCAGATAAAAAGCAAACGTAGGGCTGGGGTTGTGGCTCAGCGATAGAGCACTCACTCGCCTAGCACGGGCGGGACCTGAGTTCCATCCTCAGCACCACATAAAAATAAAGGCATTGTGTGTGTCCATCTACACTTAAAAAATAAATGTTAAAAAAAAAAAAAAAAAGAAAAGGTAACTGGGTGGGGCCACACATGCCTGTAATTCCCAGGGACTCAGGAGGCTGAGGCAGGAGGATCACAGGTTCAAGGCCAGCCTCAGCACTTAGCAAAAAAATAGAAAGGACTTGGGATGTAGCTCAGCACCTCTAGGTGTTCAAACCCAGTTAAAAAAAAAAAAAAAAAAAAGACCTTGATAAACTGTAACTTCCAGGGCCAGTCAATGTCCCAACACAGCACCTGACAGATGGCTCCGAGGAGYCAAGGACCACCAGGTTGGAATCCCAGCTCTGCTACTGGTTGCTCAGGAGGCTGGGGGCACACAACTCCCCCTCTCTGCAGGAATGATAATACCCCGGTGTGAGCCCGTCAGGAAGACCAGGGGMGTGACGTGTCAGTTCCCAGTCACGGTGGCCAACGTGGGGCAGCTGTAAGAACAGGGGCTGCCACTCGCTGGGTGCCACCTGCTCCAAGGCACCCAGAACTGCCAATAGCCAACCGTTGGTTATGAAGACGACACTAGAAGAGGCTCTAGTGCGTRCCAGCCACTATTTCTATGTATTTAATCCACTTCATCCTCTCAACAACCCTGTGAAGCAGGTGCTTTCATTTTAAAGACAAGGAAATTGAGGCCCAGAAAGGTGAAGGCCCTTGCAGGAAGCCACACAGCCAGAAAGAGGAGCTGGGACTGGGACCAGACAGCCTGGCTCCCAAGACCAATAACTGAGATTCTAATGATGACTCCGCAGCATCCAGATAAGCTTAATTATGTTCCCTGACCTCAGTTGGCGAAGTCAGGGAGTGTGAAATCCATTTGGAAAGGCCTCCGTGAAACTAGTTAAAATTAAAAAAGAAAGACAGAAAAGGTTGGCTCTGAAATTCAGCTAACTGGAAAAATCCGCCTGTGGGCCCCGGTGTCCTGCTGGTGGTAGATAGGTGGGGGCAGGGGGCTGCCTCCTGGATCCTGAGCTGCCCTACGGGCATAAGCTCGGCCCAGGTACTTTTGCCTAAAGCCCAGTATGATTGTGGCACCCTTGAGGATCCGCTGGGAACAGACAGGCCTTCAGAGAGGTTTCTGACACCGAGGCAAACTTCCCTCCAGGTGAAGGCCCACCCGCGAGCGAGCGCACTGCCCTGGCCACCCCAGGCCCTGCGTGCGCGTGCATGTGTGGGGGGTACTGGGGACTGAACTCCAGGGCGCTCTACCACAGAGCTCATTCCCAGCCCTTTTCCTGTCTGAGGCAGGGTCTCACTAAGTGGCCAGGCTGGTCTTGAACTTACCATCCTCCTGCCCAATTCCACCCCAGGCCCTGCCTCTGCCTGTGCTTTTGAAGGTGGCCCCAGTCCTACAAACAAGGCTTCCCCAGCCTCCTGTCCCGTGTGGTCAGTGAATGGATGTCAAACCCTCCACAGACAAACGTGTGGACCCATGA